TGCGTTTTGATTTGGTAAGCTTCTTGAGGTTCCGTGACGCCTTATGGAAGGTCTTGAGGTCGATTGCGTTAATCATTGCCCCATCATCTACGTTTGCGTGGAAGCACGAAGTTTTTGCGTTCGGCCCGTATAGGATGATTTGCGTAATAAATGGGGTGCTGTCAGTTATGTGATTCGGGTTGTCATTATCTGAAACAGCGTAAACATTGACAATCGTTCGATTGTTTACGCCCAGGTAACAGTCAGAAGGTAGATTCGATTCAGAAGTAAGTACAAGACTTAGCGTGGCAAATGAACTATCAACGGACATATTCTGATCTACTGATTCTGATATATCGACCCAAGAACTTGGTGCATCAGTGTCTGGTAATGAAACAACGTGTGAAGGGGTACTGGAAGGTGATTCTGAGAGATTTAGCATATAGACGGAACTAGATTCTGATTCTGAGAAAGGAAGTTCTTCGAGGAAGGAGCCGGTATCATGAGTCAGCGGCGACATTGGTTCTTGCTGAACGTTCGAGTCTGGCAGGGTGATATCGATCGTGGGTACTACGAGGTCATCGTCCGTTACTTCAATATTCAGTACGTCCAGTGTCTGCGAGGTTGGCGTGTTGAGAACTGATGTGTTGAACTGTGTCGTAGGTCCTGACATGAACTCTGAGAACGGTGTGCTGGGTGTGGCATCTGGGGTGTTGGGGAACGATGGTTCATGTGGTTCTGGGACCGCAGGTAGGTCCCCTACATCTGCGGTCCGTATTCATTTCCCGTGACGTTATACGGCTCATATGTTTCTGCGAAATAGGAATATGGGGGAAACGGGACTTGAGCCATTTGCGGTGCGTATGGTACTGCTGCAGCGTTTGAGACGAATTGAACATTAGACGTTTGTCCCGGGGTGGTTGGTGTTGCCAACGTTCTGGACACCAACCGTGATACTGTCTCTCTCCACTTGGTCTCTTGTATGGGCACGGGTTCGTTGGGGCACTCATATGCCTGGTGTGGTGGCGCCGTTGCCATGCCACAGTTGAAGCATTCCCGAGATCCAATGGGCGAGGTTCCAGGTTTTAGCGGAAATGGTCTTTGTGAATTGGGGATAGCGTCAACTCCGTGCTGCGTACGCCATTCTTGCACCTGCTGGGCGTAGGCTTGTTTGCCAGCGTCTGAGTTAGGGTGGTGCGGAATGGTAGCATACTGTGCGGCAGTTCTCATGCGATCTGCCGGTGATCCTCCTCGACGGGTTGGCGTTTGCGGGTACCCTCTGTGGCCGTAGAATAAGTTCCCTCTGCTCATGGGCATCCCCGGTGTGAACATGTTGGTACTCTGTGGAGTTTGGGGAATCTGGGGAGTTGGCGATTGCACTGACGGCTGGAATGCAGGTGGGATTGCTGTCGCTTGGTGTTGGGAGACTGATGCTGGTGGCCCATTGTAACGATAGCCGTATCTATACGGTGGTGGTGCAGAGTAGGAGATTGGGTTCGTCTGGGAAGGAGACTGCGATGTCTTGCGATCGTTAACCGTTTTGCTTTGCAGTTTGTCAACGTCCTCGCGAAGTTTTCGTTCTGTAGCAAGGCGTTGCTTTGCTCTCAGCAGCTGTGACACTGAGATCTTCATGATGTCGGCTTCAAAATCCGTCCAAGTCGTATAGTTATCCAGCATGAAATCACGCAGGACCTCTGGGGTGTTCTCCAACACGACGTCCAATAGGTGACATTGGCTATCGTTGAAACCTTGCGCCATTCGCGCGACCTTCTTTGCCCACTTTACGTGTCCCCACTCTCTTCCTCGATCTTCCTCTATCATAACGCCAATCTCCTCTTCCTTCAGTACTACTGCCTTGATTCGTTCCTTCTTCTGTGCGGCCGTTAGAGTGACTTGTGCTGGTTGAGGCCAGCGAACTTTGAATGCCGCTCGGAACGCGGACCAAGTTGCCTTGTCCGAGGCTGGAAGGTTTGCATGCCACGTTTCTGCCGGGCTTGCGGCAGCGCACTGTAGTTCGAATCGACTGAGTTTGTCTGTTTCGGTAGCTGAGGGGGGAAAGGAAAGCTCATATTTCCGGAGCCAATCCGTAGGTTCTTCTCCTTTCTCGTAGTCTCCGTAGAAGCTGGGTTGAGGTGTGATGGTCATATTGGACATGTTGGTACTATGTACGGAGGGAACCGGAACTGTTGGAAAGGGTGCGTGGGGGACTCTTGACAAGGCGAGACGTTGCTGTATAAACCGTAGATTAGTGCTGATAGTAGTAGAGTCAGATTTGAGAGGCGAAAAAACTGTGAGAGCAGCGCCAAAGTTAAGATTTCTGGGGGGTGAAAGCTGGCTGTCTGATGCTATGCGACGCAGCTTTGATGTGTCTTCGAGCGGACAAGAAATGTTGCGCAGTCGACAGAGGTCGTCGAGCGTGATCGACGTGGTGGTGCGCTCACTCTAGTCACCAGGTGGAGAGGCTACGCCTCGACACAGGTGCTAGGCAGATGGTGGGCAGAACCTGTGTCTTCTCGTGGGAAACTGCTACTCTAAAGATGCTTCCAACAGGGTCCGAGACCTCCAGAACCCGAAACCTAACTAAGAATGCCCCTAAGAAGTCCCTGGTGCCAAACATCCTAATACACCGTCTTCCTAGCGAGGACCCTCCACCATACTGATAATTCGTCCACTATTCGTTGGAGTAGGCCAGGCTGTGCTGAACGCATGCTGGACATGGCAAGTAGGCTCGAGGGAAGGAGTAGGTTACAAGACCCGGGAACGTCGTCGTTCCAAGGTTTGGGTGTTGAATGGGACCAACTGAGTCGATGAGAGTCAGAGACTTCCGGGAACGTCATCGTTCCAAGAACCTACTCGCTCAGGACTTGGATGAAAAGACTACAAGAATTCCGGGAACGTCGTCGTTCCAAGAATCTATGATAGTCTACCGTAGATCGATGATGGTAGTAAGAGTGAAGAGATGAGAGACAAGTGACAAGAGAAATCGGAGTTTAAGGACAATAAGATGTGGACTTTGGCAAACAAGACCAAAGTCTACGATTCAGCTGTGGATAGAGAAAATCCGGGAACGTCGTCGTTCCAAGATTTGGCGTGGACGAAAGACAAATGAATGAGTGCAATCCAAGAGCTGAGATGACATCCAAAACAGGATTATTAATAGCCCGTTGCTTTAGGTAATCCTAGTGATTGGCGTGCAGTCAAGAGATTATGTCATCTCTGCATAACTGCACTTTCTGCTGACTCAGCGGGGCCAATTGAAGTTGGACTAAGGTCACCAGGTCCTTTAGATTTGTACTGTCCTACGTCAATATTATACTATGTTTTGACAAAGTTCGAAGCGGTGTCTAAGTGATACAAGGATGAGGATTCAAATATTCAAACATGAGATTGGACATAGTAATCGAGAGACGTAGTAAAACTAATTTTACAGCATCATATCAGCCTCGAGGTCAAATTCGCCAAGGTAGTCAGTGGTTTCTTCCAACTCTTCGAAATCCCCAATGCTATCACTGTAGATACATTGATTAGCATGCCTACTAGCCCGAAGCTGAGTTGCACTGTGACTCACTAGGCCACTTGAAATATTTCTTGTCGAAGCTTCAAAATGAGCTGGGGGTGTTTCTGTTCTTGTCTTCAAAGAGTACAGAGATGGCTGTCATATGAACCTCGGTATGAGTCTCCTGAGAATTCATTGACCCCACGCCTTATCTCCTTGTAGCCTTTGACATAGTCCCTCAGTGCACACTCGATCTAAGAGGTTATGTCAGAGAAATAATGAAAAAAAAAACATGCCTACAGCAGTAGCAATGAGCGCTAGCGTTGGGAGCGGCACTGGATTGAAGGCAGCTGCATACTCACCAGCGGCCTCGCCTCTTTTTCTCAGCCACTGAGCTCCAAATATATCAGTAAAAATTGGGTGTCGAAAGAAACCCTCGCGCTAAGAAGCGGTTAGCAGACTTGAACACTACTAGTACGTGGAGATATACTCACCTTGTCCGGGTTTCGGAAGACGTAGGCATGTTCATGCAGAAGTCCCGCAATTCTGGCCTCGAGTTTGGACTTCAACAGACCGTGCAGCTCGTAATGGCCGACAACGGCGCTTTGAACTTTGCTTTTCAGCTCGCCGCGAATCTGAGATGGGCGAGCAGCCACCTATCCGTCACATCAATATTGAAGAAAGAAAAAGAAACATGTACCTACTATCTTCGCTTGGATAGCTGCATATGCTGGATCCTCCTCAAATCATCCGAGAATTTCAGTCCGTTTGAGTTCCTTGCAGGCGCGCTTGAAGCTGGCACGGGAATGAGCAGCGATCTCGTCCTCAGTTGGGAATCCATTGTCGGTAGCAACATAAACACGAAAGATACTATTAGCTGTCTTTACAACGGCTCTGGAGGTGGGGGTCTGATCTGACATTCGAGGTTTCGTGCTGTGCTGATGCGATGAGCGGGGTGGGGTACTTGGAATGGGTGTCACCGCAGCTGCTGAGCATGGAAGTGAAGGCGCGGGGTGTGAGCACGATGTCGACAGGCGTGCCCGAGGCAGTTTGGAAGTTAAAATAGCTGGTGAGGATGCCTCAAACTAGTATGAATGTAAGCACAAGTGAGATGACCAACGAGAATACTAGGTACTGACCGTTGGCCTACCTACATTCGATTTAAGCCTCTTGACACTGCGACGAGCCTCCTTGACAGGGAGAAGATCATTTTGAGGGCAGTCACTTTGTTCCTGCTCCTCTCGCTCCTGATCCCGATCGTGCTCTTGTTCCTCAATACCTACGAACGTCAGTTTGAGTCTTGTGTATGATCGCGCAAACGTACGTCGACCCCGTTTAACCAATGGCAGTCGGAGGGGACATGTTCTGCCAGTTGAGCTGTGGGGAAGTGGTCAAAGAAAGATATGCAGTCAGAGACAGCCTAGCTGCCACGGCTTAGTGATAGTATGTTTTCGAAGTCATGTCAACTGGAATAAAGCCTGGCTTCACTCAAGTTGGCTACTAGTAGAACTTGAAGATGCAGCGTGGTGGGCTGTTTGCGGACTCGTTTCGTTATCATACCTTTATCAAGCCAGAAAATGGTCGGGAGGAAGCAATGAGGCAATCCATCGATGTTCGGTAAAGTATCCTGCAAGACATTGAGTAGGTTAATTGAATGGTGGCCGCTGGCAGGGCTGTTCAGTCAAGAGAACGTACTTGGATTGTCCACCAGAGTTTTCCTGTATTGATGTCATCATAGACAGCAAGTTCTTTTCCATTTTGGCAAAGGTACTTTTGAACTGGGTACCAGAAAATTTCCCGCGAAAGTGTTGGGTCAGTGATCCAGTTCTCGTAAATTTTCCAAGGGTCACGATAAGGGAACTTGAATGTGAACGTTTGGCCATTGTAGGTTGCGGAGACAATGCCTTCCTGAAACTTTGCATGTACAACACATTGAGCTGCGCACCGACAAACAAATATATATGGACACACCGGAACAACGTATGCACGAGCAGCTTTTAATGCTTGTTCCATGTCCCTGTGGTTCTCCAGTGTGATCTGGCTTTCCTTCGCCCATCCATTCTGTAACCCATACAGCTGAGCATCGACATTTGACTTGGTGAGGCAGGCTCGAACAGCAATCTCCGTATACTCAAAGTCTTGTATATTTCGGAATGGTGCCCATGGCACTGACTCTGCTACAATTGGCTGTAATGCTGGAGTTTCATGTGACATACTACATGATTCTGGTTCGAGTTCTGGATTGAGACTTGACTCGAGAGGAATGATGGTGGGTTTGGTGATATTGCTGTGCGGATGGTGAATGATTTTTATATGTGCTGTGGGTGGCATTTGCAAGGATGGTTGCACTACTTGAGGACCAGGTAAGGGGTTGGACACGGACACATAACTTGAGTCGAAATCATAGGAACGATTGATGTCCTATACATGATGATTCAGAAAGACTGTTTGGCATTCATTACTTAGCATTTTGCATAGCAACTTACCCTCGAAGAGTCGTTTTCAATGTGCCGCCTTTTTCGAGGCTGAAAACCCCGTGTTACTGTAGTATTCTGCAATGCACTCAAACTAGTTGTTGCAGAAGCAATGGCGTCTTGTTCATGTTTGCATGCAGAGGAGTGTTTTGCAAAGCCTCGTGGATCTCGATGCTGGTGACAATGCTCGCACCAATGTAGTGGCATAGTATCTGTGACTGACTGAGTTTGTGAGCCTAGCAGGAGCATTCTCAAATGAAGTAGTTGGCCTTGAACTCCACTTCATTACCAGTTTGACGTACGACTTAGTTGTTCGATGACGACTGGATCTACTATACTACTATGACCATGCCTCGGCAACATCAACGTCCTACTCAATGCAATGATAATTCTAGTCCGTCTGAAGATGAGCCTGGAACCATGCACACTAGCATGACACCATCACGAGATACAGACTCTGAAATTGAAATCGACATGAACATGTCTTGGGAGGAACTCTACAAAGTATGTGATTAGCAAATTCATTGACGTCCCAAGAGAATATTCACACATTTGATGGTAGAATGCTCGAAAAGCACAATCCAAGGCAAATGTAGCTATTGCGGAGGTCAAAGCAACTCGTCGAAAAGCAACCGAGACTGCTGAAAGCCCTGCAAAACGGCCAAAGATCACAACATCAGACGTGCAAGAGAATATCAAAATCATTGAGCATTATGGTCGGAAATTCCTTGTCACCCATCTACTCTGGCTGCATGGCAATATAAAAACGACCTTCGAAACAGATATCGACGATGGGTATCAAGATGCTGAGCGATTCGAAAACACGGAAACAATGATTCAAGGGCAGTTGCGAGATATCTGTGATGTCCTTCCACAGAAATACCACAATGATTTGAGTCGCAGCTGGCTGAGACGTGCAGTTCGTACTCCACCTTGTGCTACAATGGGTATTTTGTAACTTGCTTGGTTATGTTAGTTTTCAGCAGGGATGCAATCACAATGATCAAACATATCCACCAGAATACGCACTCGATGTGGCCCAACAATTTTTAATTGCACCGAAGCCGATATGAAATCAGCAGATTATCGACGAGAACATTTTGGTACCCAGATAGGCTGGACGACAAATGATAGTGGTGAATGGTATTATGATACCTGGCATGTAGCGCTGTTGCACAACCATGGCAAGGCGAGCAGGACATAAATACTATATTTCTAAACCCGAAGCTTATGATGGTATGTACTTACCGTGGTCACACTGCCATGAAATCTCTAACTCAATGCCAGGTTGTTAGCGCCATCATTCGAGGACCTGCATCTGTGGTTTCTATGAGCGAGGGTAGGGGCTCCGCATCGTCTCGCAACAATGAAACACTTGATGTCAAATGGGGGCTAGACCACACCACCCCTGGGATGATTGCAGCTGGCGCAATCCTTGTGAGCTTCACAGCAGCCCGATGGTAAAAATACTACAATTTTGCACAGGCACGATGGGCTGCATCCGTTGATGCTCTTCTGACTGACCGAGGGGCACAGACCGGAATCAGATGGAGGGATGATTTTGAGGACTACCTAAAGTACCTGTTCAATGGGCTCAGACTACGCAAGGCCAGTGTCCTCAAAATATTCCGTGAATGGGACAAAGTATTGTTTCCATCCTCGTCAACTGGGTTTGGGGGGCGTCAGGCACGTAACGACAGAGATTCGAGAATGAAGACCATGATGGATTCTCTAGAAGATGATATCGAAGTGGAGGTAGAGCACATATTACAGTGACCTATTTCCGTATAATACGAGGGAACGGACGTGCATAATATCCCGTATGATACGGGCCAGCGGACCATGGGCCCATGATAAAAATATCCTCGACTATGACGGATGGGCCGGGAGGCAAATTATTCCCGATGGAGGCGGGTGGGCCCATGCAGGGGATATATAGAGTAGATGAGTGGGCCGATGTACATGAATATTAGGTAGACGGGTGGGCCGAGGTAGTTGGATATTATGCAGATGGGTGTATTAAGGTAGATGTGTATGAGATAGATGGGTAGGTACTTGTTATCACATTCACGGGTGGGCCCAGACACATATTAAATTAGACGGGTGGGCCGAGGGTATTATACAATATTGTATTATATGGGTAGGCCCAGACGCATATTAATTAGACTGGTGGGCCGAGGGTGTTGTATGGGATGTTGTATTAGACGGGTGGGCCGAGGGTGGTATAAAATATAGATGGGTGGGCCCATGTGTATCATAATTGTAAACACGATGGAGCTGAGGTAGTTGTACATCAACCAAATCAGAGGAGGTAATAAAATCAAAGTTACCAAGTTCCTGGAGCAGCAGGTGATCTCCTGACATGGCCTTTGATGGTGCACAGGTTGTCTTGCAAAATTTGGAATCCGGGGTGCGAAGCTTGTGTTACCCTATGAGAAGCCAAGTTCCGATTACCAACCTTTGGGTCAACCGTACTCAGAGGAGGTAATGAATCAAAGTTCCCGAGTTCCCGGAGCAGCAGGTGATCTCCTGACATGGCCTTTGATGGTGCACAGGTTGTCTTGCAGAATTTGGAATCCAGGGTGTGAAGCTTGTGTTGCCCTATGAGACGCCAAGTTCCGACCACCCAAATTTGGGTCAACCATACCGACTTCCAAGTTCCGGGACCCAGGAGTCGACAAATGAATATCTGATAACCAGCACACTTCCAATCAGGTAGTATTTCATTGAGCAATGAATCATCCAAGGGGTCTCTAATCAGACTCGGTAGTCAATATAGGCAAATGATAATGAAAACATGAAAGTTGTTATTATGCTATTTTTCAAACCCGAGACCCTGAAACCCATTGTTCAACATGTCCATTTTTCACTCACTGCACAAATCACCGAGTTTCGAGTGCCAAAGCGTGAAACTTGAAACCCAGTGTGCAACATGTCCATTTTTCATGTACATTACACAATTCATTGAGTTCCGAGTGCCAAGTGCCGAAACCCGAACCCCGAGACCCGAAAATATGTATGCAACATTTCCATTTTTCACTTGTTGCACAAATCACCGAGTTTCGAGTGCCAAAGCGTGAAACTTGAAACCCAGTGTGCAACATGTTGATTTTTCATTTATATAACACAAATCATTGAGTTCCGAGTGCCAAGGGCCGAACCCCGAACCCCGAGACCCGAAAATATGTACACAACATGTCCATTTTTTACTCACTGCACAAATCACCAAGTTTCGAGTGCCAAAGCATGAAACTGGAAACCCAGTGTGCGACATGTTGATTTTTCATTTATATCACACAAATAACCAAGTGCCAAGTGCCAAGTGCCGAAACCCAAACCCCGAGACCCGAAAATATGTATGCAACATTTCCATTTTTCACTTGTTGCACAAATCACTGAGTTTCAAGTGCTGAAACCCGAGACTCAAAACCAGGCATGCAACATGTTCATTGTTCATTTAAATTACACAACTCATTGAGTTCCGAGCTCCGAGGGCCGAAACCCGAACCCCGAGACCCGAAAATATGTACACAACATGTCCATTTTTCACTCATTGCACAAATCACCGAGTTTTGAGTGCTGAAACCCAAAACTTGAAACCCGGCATGCAACATGTTGATTTTTCATTTACATGACACAAATCATTGAGTTCCGAGGTCCGAGGTTTGAGACCCGAACCCCGAGACCCGAAAATATGTGCACAACATGTCCATTTTTCACTCACTGTACAAATCACTGAGTTTTGAGTGCTGAAACCCGAAACTCGAAACCTGGCATGCAACATGTTGATTTTTCATTTACATTACTCAAATCATCGAGTTCTGAGTGCCGAGGGCCGAGACCCAAAGCCCGAAACCCAAAATCATGTACACAACATGTCCATTTTTCACTCATTTCACAAATCACCAAGTGTCGAGTGTCAAAACCTGAAACCCGGTACTTCAAATGAACACAAATTGTATTTGTATGTATTATCCATTGGTGTAGGGCTCAAATAACCTGGGAATTGTATTTGTCAGTACTTGGTACTTGGGACTTGGTACTTGGTACTTGGTACTTGGTACTTGGTACTTGGCACTCAGTGATTGGTGGTCAGTGGTTGGTACTTGGGACTCGGTACTCGGTACTTGGTACTCGGGACTCGGGACTCAGGACTCGGTACTCGGTACTTGGGACTTGGGACTCGAGACTCGGGACTCGAGACTTGAGACTCGGGACTTGAGACTCGGGACTTGGGACTCAAGACTCGAGACTCGGGACTCGGTACTTGGTACTCGGTGATTGGTGGTCAGTGGTTGGCACTCAAGACTCGGTAGTTTCTCCCTGATACCCACCAAAAAACCCACACCCACAAGGTGGGTGTGGGTATATCATGGGGTATGGGTGGGGGTAGTGCTACTCATACCCCGGGGTTCACCCACGCTATTCCCTATCGGTACTCGGTACTCGGCACTCAGTGATTGGTGGTCAGTGGTTGGTACTCAAGACTCGGTAGTCAATATAGGCAAATGATAATGAAAAATGACAGTTGTAGTCCATGTCAAGGTGAGTGATTTGGTAGTCTTTCCTTGTCATTCAGCAAAACATCAGCAATAATGAAAAAATGAAAGTTGTTATTATGCTTAACTTCCTTACCAAAGGTTGTAGTCCAAGTCCAGGTGAGTGTAGTGGTAGTCTTTTCTTGTCAATTGGTTATCTTGTTACTCATTATGCAGTACTTGGTACATGGTAATTGGTACTCAGTATTTGGTTTTGATACTCGGTATCTGGGAATCAGTAGTCAGCTTAATGAAGGTTGTAGTCCGAGTCTAGGTGAGTTTATTTGTAGTCTTTTCTCGTCCATTGGTTACCATGTGACCAAGATATAAGCTAAAGAAATCCAAAACATTAATAATGACAAATGAAATACATGTGTGCAGTAAGTGAGTCTAAAGATAAAGAATGAATATGAATAGCGAGACTTGCACATTATGTCGAGATATCCAACATGACAAGCCTGTGATGTGATCAGAGACCTGGAATAACACCCATATACATCCATTATAATAGCTTAAAAGCTTAGAAATATTCATGAAGGATTGATGTAATGATAGGCAAAATGACATATGTGTAGAGAGTGACAGTAGACATCTTTTATACAAAGTCACATTTATATATGATTCAGGCCGAAAATATCATTACAAATATGTAGGATAGATTGTAGACTACCCAAGGAACCCATACTGCCTACTGCCCTGAGGGTAGGGGGTGGGTAGAAGGGATATAGTGAAAATATGAGTTGACCCAGCATTAAAGTCCTACCACTGCTCAACTAACCATTTTCGATGCTTTGGGTCTTTGAAGTTTCCCACACTCAATTTCTTACCCATTTCACTTCCTCAGTACTCAATTCTTGGTTGATTTGTCTGTAAATTTATGTCTATGATACTTAAGATATTTGAAATGTACCCCAGGTTTCTGATTATGAAGATTCAATGTTTTGAAGGCATGGGCCCCTTATCAGGCAAAATGGCAAGTATGCACACTAGCTCACAAACTCCAGCCTATTGTGAGCTGATCTTGGTCATAAGAAGCAAGAATATAAGCTATGCTCATTATATATTAAAAGGTTGGATCATGGATGCAAGGGCAAGATACTGAAAATTGTGAAAAAATGTCACAAGTGCAATTGTCTATGCTTTGTTCCTGGAGAAGGATCCTGTGTGATATTTTCAGGTCTTGGGGTTCGTGTCTCGGCCCTCGGCACTTGGAACTCAATGAATTGTGTAATGTACATGAAAAATGGACATGTTGCACACTGGGTTTCAAGTTTCACGCTTTGGCACTCGAAACTCGGTGATTTGTGCAGTGAGTGAAAAATGGACATGTTGTGTACATATTTTTGGGTCTCAGGCTTTGGGTCTCAGCCCTCAGCACTCGGAACTCGATGATTTGTGTGATATAAATGAAAAATCAACATGTTGCACACTGGGTTTCAAGTTTCACGCTTTGGCAGAACTCGAAGTTGTTGATTTAGATATCACCCGAAACCTGAACACCCGAATGTCAAATTTTCAGTGCCGAACCCCCAACCCTGACTGCCGGGTGCCGGGTGCCGAGTCCCGAAGCCCGGAACTCAGGATTTGACATTTGAGATGAACGAAATTTTTCAGACATGTTTGAATTAACCTACGTATATCTATAAACATTTCACTAACCCCTGAACCCTGAAAGATATTTTTGTTGTCTTACATACCAAATTCCGAGTTCCGAGTTCCGGGACCCCTGGACCCCCGAAACCCGGTAGTCCACAATTTCGGAGTTCGGGGGTTGGTAAAATGTGTATGGATATATGAAGGGTTGGTTTAAACATTTTAAAAGATGTCTCATATCAAATGTCAAGTCCCAAGTTTCGATTTCCGGGTTTCAAGAGTGCTGAGTCCCAAAGCCCGGAGTCCCGAAACCCGGAGTCCTGAAACCCGGAAATCAACACTCGGGACTTGACATTTGATATGAGACATCTTTCAGAAATGTTTCAATCAACCTTTCATATATCCATACACATTTTACCAACCCCCGAACCCCGAAATTGTGGACTGCCAGGTCTCGGGTTTCGGGGTTCGGGGGTCCCGGAACTCGGAACTCGGGAAATTTGGGGAGATCAATAAAATTTGATTTACAATCGAGTTGATTGACAAACACATTGATTTACCCATGTTTAAAATATATTTTTGTTCTACATACCGAGTTCTGAGTTCCGGACCCCCGAACCCCGAAACCCAGCAGTCTCGGGTTTCGGGGTTCGGGGGTCCCGGCACTCGGAACTTGGGGAGATTTGGGGAGATCAATAAAATTTGATTTACAATTGAATTGATTGGCAAACACATTGACTTACCCATGTTTGAAATATATTTTTGTTTACACATACTGAGTTCCGAGTTCCGGACCTCCGAACCCTGAAACCCGAGACCCGGCAGTCCACAATTTTGGGGTTCGGGGGTTGGTAAAATGTGTATGAATATATGAAAGGTTGAATGAAACATTTTTGAAAGATGTCTCATATCAAATGTCAAATCCCGAGTTTCAACTTCCAGATTTCGGGAGTGCCGAGTCCCGAAACCTGGAGTCTTGAAACCCGAAATTCGAAACTCGGGACTTAACATTTGATATGAGACATCTTTCAAAAATGTTTCATTCAACCTTTCATATATTCATACACATTTTACCAACCCCTGAACCCCAGAATTGTGGACTGCTGGGTCTCGGGTTTCAGGGTTCGGAGGTCCGGAACTCGGAACTCGGAACTCAGTATGTGTAAACAAAAATATATTTCAAACATGGGTAAGTCAATGTGTTTGCCAATCAATTCAATTGTAAATCAAATTTTATTGATCTCCCCAAATTTTCCCAAGTTCCGAGTTCCGGACACCCGATGACCGAGATGTACCAACCCCCGAACCCCGACACCCGAAACCCGGCAGTCTCAGGTTTCGGGTATCGGGTGTCTGGAACTCGGAACTCGGGGAAAATTTGGGGAGATCAATACAATTTAATTTACAATCAAGTTAATTGACAACACCTTGACTTAATCATGTTTGCAATATATTTTTGTTTAGACATACTGAGTTCCGAGTTCCGGACACCCGATACCCGAGACCCGAGACTGCCGGGTTTCGGGTGTCGGGTGTCCGGAACTCGGAACTTGGGAAAATTTGGGGAGATCAATACAATTTGATTCACAATCAAGTTGATTGACAAACACATTGACTTAACTATGTTTGCAATATATTTTTGTTTAGACATACCGAGCTCCAAGTTCCGGACACCCGAGACCCGAGACCCGGCAGTCTTGGGTTTCGGGGTTCGGGGGTCCGGAACTCAGAACTCGGTATGTCTAAACAAAAATATATTGCAAACATAGTTAAGTCAATGTGTTTGTCAATCAACTTGATTGTGAATCAAATTGTATTGATCTCCCCAAATTTTCCCAAGTTCCGAGTTCCGGACACCCAAAACCCGAGACCCGGCAGTCTCAGGTTTCGGGGTTCGGGTGTCCGGAATTCAGAACTCGGTATGTCTAAACAAAAATATATTGCAAACATGGGTAAGTCAATGTGTTGTCAATCAACTCGATTGTAAATTAAATTGTATTGATCTCCCCAAATTCTCCCAAGTTCCGAGTTCCGGACACCCGAGACCCGAGACCCGGCAGTCTCGGGTTTCGGGGTTCGGGGTTCAGGGGTTGGTACATCTCGGTTTGGGGTTTGGCACTGAAAATTTGACATATATATTTTTGTGAGTGTTGTACTTCTGGTGTCCATGCTTAGAAATAGGATTTGTTGCACACCAGGGTTCAGGTGTGGGGTTTTTCCACTTCAGTCCTGGATTATTGGTCAATGCCACACATGATCGATTCATGTTTTTGTGCTTAGGGGTTTAGATTTGGTGGTTGATGGTAGGTATATGCACTCATAGTGTACATGTATCCTATGTGTTTGATTCGCTGGTGGCTACATCAGCTGTATGTCTTGATGGAACATATCTAGGCTCACCCATATATGTAATACACCCCCGTCGGCCCGCCCGTCTATGTATTATCCCCCACGTCAGCCGACCTGTCTATGTAATACATCCTATGTTGGCCCACCCGTCTATATAATACATCCTACATCGGCCCACCCGTCTATATAATTATACCCCACCTCGGCCCACCTGTCTATGTAATAATTATTTTATCGCACCCTCGGCCCACCGGTCTATTTGATATCCCTTTTGTCGGCCCACCCGTATATGTAATACATTCCACGTCGGCCCACCTGTATATGTAATACACCCTACGTCAGCCCACCTGTCTATGTAATATTCCCCTACCTCGGCCCACCCATATATGTAATACACCCATGTCGGCCCGCCCGTCTATATAACAATATTTGCCTTACATCTCTCTTCAGCCCAGCTGTCTATAATATCCTACTCTACATATTACCCAGATGGGCCCACCCATCTCCATGAATGATCATATTCCCCCGGCCCATCCGTCAACATTAAGGATATATATATCATTGGCATACATGGGCCCACCCGTCTCCATCGGAAATAATATGTGTCCCGGCCCATCCGTCATCATCGAGAATATACACAACATGGGCCCATGATCAGCTGGCCCGTCTCATACGGGATATTATGGAGGTCGGGTGGCCCATATAATACGGAATTTGTCACTGAAGGGGCTCGGTAGAGGAGCAAGATGATGGTGATATCCACAAGAGAGATGTTGCACAAAGAAAGTCTCAGGATCATGATGGAGATGATTCGGAGGACCTTTGAAGGTATTTTGACGATCACAATCCAAATAATGTATAATCAGGAGTACATTTATATATCACATCAATACATGTATATGCTACACAACTTGAATGGGCATCTCAATGACAACAGCTCGTCACCCAACAAATGTTATCACTGGGATATGATGTCAAGAACACATGCGAGCACAGCAGTCTGCGCTTGAAGCACCCCCACAATCTCTTTTCCCAAACTCGCTTTATCCACTGCGTTGTTACTACCAACTGGGGGCTCCGCAGCTTCATTATGCACAGAAACCCGTCGCTTCTTGGGAGTAGGTGGCTTTGCTGCTTGGGAGTTTGTGATGTCGCTAGCAAATCGACGGTGTTGCAGCTAAGTACCTCAATGGTTCAATTCTTCATACTCACAGAGTAAAATATTGCACTCACCTCAGGCTCACTATCAGAGGTACTAGTAGAGTCATGTGAACTATTGTCCGACAGGATCCTACATTTCAGGCTTGGTGGATTGGCATTAACTGCATTTGCATCCTGGTGCTACTAGTTGGTCAAATTTGTCGACACCATACTATGGAAACCTTTGCATACCTCAGATTTTTCTGAGTCGTCACCTTCAACAACAGGCAAGCCTTTGCCGAGTCTCATACTAGTACTTGCTGATGACTCTAGAGCATTCAGCATCTCTCCTTTATCACCTCCAACCCCACACGACTGTGCGACTGCCGGTGGTGACTCGACAGATTCAGGGTCAAGTGTCTCCAGCGCCAGTGAGTCTTGAGCCTGAGGATCAAGTCCTGGGGAAGGTCTCCGCTGATACTCTGGATAGATTTGACTGTAAAAGTAATTCCCGTCCTCGTCAACAGGTGCACCTTGTCCATATCCTCCTTGTCCACCAGGTACCATGCCCAGGTATTGTGCTTTGCGTCCAAGTATCACTGGTGCGCTGTCATTGTAACCAGAAGCGCGAGAACTGTTATCAGAGCTGGTGGCATCTGGGTCGTAGTATTTGCTTGGCATTGTGGGGGCACAGTAGACTTAGAAGATTTTGCATCAGGTGAGCACCGAAATATACATTGTATCACATGATGTCATTGGAGTCAAAATTTCCTTATGATACATACAGGTACTGCCGTGATGATTGTGTGCCTCTTGGTTTCGAACCACCACCACGATGACCTCATTACTAGTAGTGTCAATGGCTACAGCACTTCAACATCACGCTGTCTATCGTGCCGAACCCCCATTGACCTCATGGAAATACATGTATAGCATGAGTTAAACCCTCTACTTCTCTCTATCTTACCTGAATTTCATCCACAGTTCCCATATTCATACCTTGTCTTGTCCTACCTCATTTCGCCCACCGCTCACTCCATCCTTGATTCCGCTTTTCATGTGCTCCATCATGTCCAGTCGTTGGGAAAGCCAATCTATTAGACTTGAAGGTGGGTCACTCTGCATCTTGTTGATATTCGTTTCATCACCCTCACAATATCGCCGACAAGATCCTTTCCTGTCCTGTCATTATCCTGTGTTTGGCACTCCCTTCCTGCAAGACACTGGAATCCTGGTTCACCCAGACCATGGCACGAACGCATGCACACAGCGGCCGAGATATGCTCACTCTGACACTCACTTCCAACTGCGCCCACATCAGCGATAACAGTGAGCTAGTGTCAGAGGGAAGAGAAGAACAAGAGATCCAGGATGAGTGGCTTGCTACTAATGAAAGGTGCGTGTTTTTTTCTGCATTCATTCATACTACTAATAAGTTTATACAATTTCGCACTGTTTGTGTGGGTCTGTTGCTTCACCGACATCTCGCTCAGTAGGCTCACCTCTGGTGGCAAGGCCTCATGTGAGTCTCAGGCAGCATACAGCGCACGCCACGTTACTTACACGCGTCTTCTAGTATTCCGAGGACTCATGTTTGGCGATGATTTCATCTGCCGCTGAGACTCCATTGCAGATGCCAACTGTCAAACCGAGTCTGGGAATGGATAGCAGTCCAATCAACTCCGAGATCAGTCCACCAACACCTGGTCTTAGTTACTCGCCTACGCCCAGTAATCTTCGTGTACACCTGCAGGTACACCCATAAAACTTGTACCCGCATAGCGGGTATACCCATGTCGTTCCCTATCATTCCCACTCGATCTTGCATGTTCATAATATATTTTTGTATAATATCAAGTAAAGCTGGGCTGTACAGCATCAGTAAATTCAACTGTAAGGACACTAAGTAAGTAATATGGCTGATATGAGCCCACCAGGTGCCATCAGCGTGATATGGGCCACTGGCACATGTTAGGCTGATCAGGCAATGCCAGGCCTCGTCAGGCTGGCCCACCTGACCACCACGGTGAGTCCTCCCCAGAATTTTATGTCGGCTTTCAGGCACCTGTCGACCTGGCAATCTGATATGGTCGAATTGGGCCATGTCAGTTGATTTTGATTTTTCCGACATTTGCTCCTCCAACATTTTATATTCTTGTGACGCCAAGGTGCTCCATAGTATCATAAATGATGATCTCATTTCATTCCTGCGGGGCAGCTGACATCGGGAACGGAACATTTTACGTTGGTTGCCACATCTGGTAGCTTACATCGGCGGCAGTAGGATCGCCTGGGACTCGAATGTGCTTTTCTAGTGGACAGCCAGGCTATCCGCTAGAAAAGACTAAGACTCCAATTCTGAGTATTAGGAAAGTGGTACCAGAAACGCCTTGCATCTTTGGTGTTGGGCGAAAGTAGCGAGAGAAACTCAAAGGCGCTTTTCTAGTGGACAGCCCGGCTGTCCGCTTGGAAATGGCTAAGATTCCAGTCCATAGTATTAGAAAAGCACCAGAAACGCCTCGCGTCTCTGGTGTTTGGCGAGAAGCAGAAGCAGACTTCGGGAGAAACTCGAGTGTGCTTTTCTAGTGGACAGCCAGGCTGTCCGCTAGATTGAAGTGACTGCTAAGACTCCAGTTCACGATGATATTAGAAAAGCACCAGAAACGCCTCGCGTCCCTGGTGTTTGGCAATAAGTAGAACCAGACTTCGACAAAATTGTCGGAATAGATCGCTGCACGGCGTTGAGACCAGGAAACAAATATTGATGAGGCGATGATCAGAGACTGGTCTGACCCACCATGTTCGTAATCCGATAGGTCATGGTTGAGAGTGAGTCACCAACTTGAAATTCATACTCGCTCCACTGCCAGTGCGAAAAGCCTGGCTTCTCGCAAACTAGGAGTAACTTTAGCAATGTTATAGATTGCGGCACGGGCAAATCGGATAATGTTTTTTTTCCGAAGTCCGAGTCCCGATACAAATAAAACAATACATTAGTCAGCATGCTCCATTCTTTGGCTAATCCCGTGTTGACTCGGAATGAGTAACACTCGACTGAACAGTGAAATATAGGCGAGTCAACTAAGTATTCCACCCCATGCGAGAAGCTAGGCTTTTCGTATCTGCAGTGGAGCGAGTATGAATTTCAAGTTGGTGACTCACCCTCAACCGTGACCTATCGGATTACGAACATGGTGGGTCAGACCAGTCTCTGATCATCGCCTCATCAATATTTGTTTCCTGGTCTCAACGCCGTGCAGCGATCTATTCCGACAATTTTGTCGAAGTCTGGTTCTACTTATTGCCAAACACCAGGGACGCGAGGCGTTTCTGGTGCTTTTCTAATATCATCGTGAACTGGAGTCTTAGCAGTCACTTCAATCTAGCGGACAGCCTGGCTGTCCACTAGAAAAGCACACTCGAGTTTCTCCCGAAGTCTGCTTCTGCTTCTCGCCAAACACCAGAGACGCGAGGCGTTTCTGGTGCTTTTCTAATACTATGGACTGGAATCTTAGCCATTTCCAAGCGGACAGCCGGGCTGTCCACTAGAAAAGCGCCTTTGAGTTTCTCTCGCTACTTTCGCCCAACACCAAAGATGCAAGGCGTTTCTGGTACCACTTTCCTAATACTCAGAATTGGAGTCTTAGTCTTTTCTAGCGGATAGCCTGGCTGTCCACTAGAAAAGCACATTCGAGTCCCAGGCGATCCTACTGGATTTACTTGAGTCAACTCCTAGTCTCGCACCCCGTGCAAAAAGCCAGGCTTTTCGCATTTGGAGCGAATACAGATCCAACAAATTGAATTGTCACGTAACTTGGACCCTCTTCCCCACGATGCGGCCGGAAGAAGGGAGATCGATGCTTTAACTTCTGCATGCTCCTCAGTTCCAAATCAGACTCGAGGGATTCAGAAGCTAGGCTTTACTCGGCGAGTCAACTCTAAGTTTTCCACCCCATGCGAGAAGCCAGGCTTTTTACATCGGCTCGAGTTTTTAGCCCTACATGATATTCCTTGCACCTATTCAAATCAGTGCTGTGCCACCACGGTAGTTGAACCAATGGGTTATCTACGATAATCAGGCCTCAGGGCCAAATCGGGGCATGGACCTTCCTTTCACACCTACAACTAATGATTCAGTTTTTAAAACAGATGTGACTCGAGGTTTCGATTGTATTTTTGTATTAGAAGGAAGGAACAATTTTTTGGCGGTCTATCACAAGTCTATCATGTATAATTTAAGGGTTGTCTAGGGGAGACTATCTTTACGACGTGACAAGGATTCTGCTACAGTACTGCTGTCCAGTCCCTTGCAATCGGCTCCAAAACTCGGTGGGTCACACATTGTGAATGAACGTGTTAGATTTTGCCAAGAAGATGTGGGGCGGCGGATCTCGTAGCTTTTGTAAAATGATATACGGAGTCACCTCTAATATAAGCTCCATTGTAACTCCACTTTGAATCCACCTACAGGCCATAGGTGACCTGGCCGATCAAGAAATTGTTCGAGAACCAAGATCGCGGCATCAATTCATCATGGGTCACGCCCTTCGAATCCTAAACTAAAGCAAAAGTTCGCACAGGTGAATCAAAACCGGCAGTACTGATCATTATCATTGATATTCCCTTTCTTTCAATCACGTCTCATAGCCAAACTGCCTTCAAAAACTCACGACAGCGTCCTTGAACCGATATGCCTGTCCCTACGTTGCATGATTGATTCCATGCCAATCAAGGAGGAGTGGGACCTTTTATTACCCTTACTTGGTTCAAACGCCATCAAAGACCCAAATGACGCCCAAAAGATACTAGGCGTCCCGGACTCAATGCTTGAGCTACAAGGTTCGAATCGGGATGTAATTCTTTGGTTGATGGAAGTGACTGTCTCGCAACATTTTGGAGATATCATGCGAAAGATTAAAGAGTATATGGAGAAGTGCGAGGGCCCTGTCATGATGATAGTAATCATCATCTGCAAAGCCAGGGCATACAGCTCGCCTGAAGTTACGTCGTCCGCGGGGATCTGGGCGAAGACACACAAGACGTTGCTGAACCTTGAGGAATGGCAACACGACGACGATCGGCCGGTAGATGGGCTGGTACAATCAGTAGTACCACACAGATGGATGGATAGATTAGATATTACCGTCAAAGTATGGCTTCGTCATCCAGACGGGCACTTTAGTTTTGACGATGCCAACAACTTATACGGCAGGTCGGCGGTATGTCACGCAATCACGATGCCTGAGTCAGGCTGACACCAAAACTCTGAAGCAACTTACTCCAGAGCCATGTACAGGCATGGCCGGCCTCGAAGCAATTCTCAAGCGAGGCATGGTGGCCATCCGCGACAGCATTATTGACTTCGTAGAAAAAGAGTGCGAGCACTCGCAAGAGGATTTGAGGTATGAACCCTAACATTCAAGTTTTGTCATATCCGAGATCTTAACATATTCTCTGATAGGGCTTTGCGTGAGTGGATGCCGCCGACGCGTATCTTCAATTGGGACGAAATTGTCGACCGTGTTCGTAAAGCTTCCCTGAGAGACGCGCACGAGCGCTACAAGGTCTGGCACACAGCAAACGGCGGGCATAGATGACTTGACGGACTCACAGAGAGGTTTCCTTGTCCTGGCTTGCGTGTACTATATGAGTCATATGGCATGACCTTTGTAATAATCTGATATGTAGGTATTCTCGAATGTACATGACACGGTGTGCTCCTGCAGTCGAGCTCCAGGACGACTGCTTCGATCATCGGAGACAGCCTAGCTGTCACAATGATGGTACATACAGGCGACCCGAACAAAGCCTAGCTTCCCTCGAGTCTGTGTTGGAGCTGAGGAGAATCTATTCTCCCGGCCGCATCGTAGGGAAGAGGGCCCTAATTACGTCCTGGATACCGATGATTGCACGTTGCACATGCAGCTTGAATAGAAGGCTGACTCGGAAGACGTTATGTCTCCGACTCGGAAGATCATGTGTCGAAACCGGGCAGGCGACTTGAGTAAAGCCTGGCTTCACTTGTGCTCGCATGCCCGGAATCTGATCGCGTAAGTTTCGAGAGTGGAACTGCAGTGGTTTGAGGGTCAAAGTCACGTATGTCCATACTCGTCAGACGACAATCCTTGTAATGACTCGGAGGTCCATAATCATTTGATGAGTCATCAAGCGGATTATGTAAACACCAAATGAGCGCAAACATACTAGTGTCTGATTCCTTAGACTAGGAAAAGCACACTCGAGTTTCTCCCGAAGTGTTTCTACTTATCGCCAAACACCAGAGACGCGAGGCGTTTCTGGTGTTTTTCTAATATTATCGTGAACTGGAGTCTTAGCAGTCACTTCAATCTAGCGGACAGCCTGGCTGTCCACTAGAAAAGCACACTCGAGTTTCTCCCGAAGTCTGCTTCTGCTTCTCACCCAACACCAGAAACGTGAGGTGCCTTACTAATACTACTATGAACTGGAGTCTTAGTCGTTTCCTAGCGGACAGCCCGGCTGTCCACTAGACAAGCATCACCTGGGATGGCGAGATTGTCTACGGATAACGTATTCAACATCTTTGATGCTTCAATCTGCGTCGGCACTGTGCGAGCAGAACCGATCTTCGCCAAGCAATCAGAGATATAGAGAATCAGGATGATTAGCAGTCGGTCCGCAGGTCCTTTGATCTCAAAGTTGCAGAAGAGCGAATTGGCACGAAAAAGGTCAAGGGTCTCGTCTATGATATCTCCTTGCTCTGGATCGGCTACATGCGCGGTAGTCAGCATGATGGCGGTGGCGACTAATTCGAGTTTCTCTCGAAGTCTACTGCTGCTTCTTGCCCAACACCAGAGACGCGAGGCATTTCTGGCACATTTGTATCACTATGGATCTCGACTACTGTGAGTATTGCGCTTGAGCTTGAACATTTGAACATTCAAACATCATCCCCATTCATGTTTTCACGCTTCAAGGTGCGCGAACTGATTTGTTTGCAGGCATCTTTATTCGCGCGACTTCCTACTGCTTTGCAGCATTGACTGTCGGAGACTTGAGTGAAGTTAGGCTTTACTCAAAACTCTCTTACGGTCCGACCTGAAGTCAACTGTCATAGGATCTCTTAACGCATCATTCCGGAAGTTTGCACCGTACCCGAGGACCTTAGTGTCTAGACCTGGTACGATAAGCTAGGCTTTTCGCACAGGTTGTCTGGTGCGTTCGTTTTACTGTGGATCTCGACCAGTCTTCGTGATTCCATCACTGTTCTTAGGCTAGCATACTCGGGTTTCTCCCAAAGTCTGCTTCTGCTTCTCGCCAAACACCAGAGACGCGAGGCGTTTCTGGTGCTTTTCTAATACTATGGACTGGAATCTTAGCCATTTCCAAGCGGACAGCCGGGCTGTCCACTAGAAAAGCGCCTTTGAGTTTCTCTCGCTACTTTCGCCCAACACCAAAGACGCGAGGCATTTCTGGTACCACTTTCCTAATACTAAGAATTGGAGTCTTAGTCTTTTCTAGCGGATAGCCTGGCTGTCCTCTAGAAAAGTACATTCGAGTCCCAGGCGATCCTACTGCCGCCGATGTAAGCTACCAGATGTGGCAACCAACGAATCTTAGCCATTTCCTAGCGGACAGCCTGGCTGTCCACTAGAAAGCGCATTCGAGTTTCTCTCACTACAACTCGCCCAACACCAAAGACGTGAGGCGTTTCTGGTACCACTTTCCTAATACTACGAATTGGAGTCTTAGTCTTTTCCTAGCGGATAGCCTGGCTGTCCACTAGAAAAGCACATTCGAGTCCCAGGCGTTCCTCAATTTTTTGAAACACGTCACCTCAAAGCTGAGCCTCGTGCCAGCACTGACCACTCGTGCCTAAACACACTTTGGCACAACCCTGGTGACTGATTTCACGTAAACTTTTCTATGACACTAATCAGAGCGGGGACCTTTCTCGGCACCTTTTTTCGTGGTGACTCATCGCCAGTGGGACTGACCATGAACCTAGCATTATACTATACTCTTTCATCACTCTTCGGATCCAACAAGTGGAGCTGATCTTGCGCTGGAGCTACGTCATTGCTGCGTGACACAATGGTATAGAAGGGAGACACCTTGCGGGGATCAACACTATTCCATGATGTCTGAGTCGCTCTCACCTACAAATTCCTTGGACCGACAAATACTATCAAGTCAGGGCTTCCATGATGCCATTGAAGCCATTTCCAACCCATCACAACGCACCCGGGCACAAACTGCTGCATATTTGCTTGGGGCCAGACAAGAACTCCCGGAGTTCTTCGATGCTGCTGCCAATGTCAATATTTCGTGGTTCAACATGTAAGCTTCTACTTCATGCTCGATTCATCAATGGATGCTGATGGATACTGGTAATAGATACTGTTCGCATTCCCCAACACACAACCAATACTAATATTGCAACCACGTATGTTGATGTGGGATTTGCGGATGATATTCTTCCCTCTGATGTGCTTGACTGCATCCATGCCTACATGGATATCTCACCCGAGGACAGTAAACTTGGTTGGCGACTGTCGACGGACCGTCGCTCAGATCTACCAGCTCGTTTGAAGACATCATTCGACCTCAAAAATGCCTTCCAATCACCAAGAGCAAAGCGCTACTCGGGTAAGAAGGAGAAAGACGTGAAGATAGAGATATCCAACCTTGTAAGTTATTACACATACCCAGACAGCGTAGCTTAATTCTGATCTAATTTTGTCCAGAAATCTATCTCGAAAAAGATTGCCAGCGCCCAGCAGGGCGAAAACAGCGGTCTCTCCAATGCTTCAGTTCAGCCAGTCACCCCGCCAAGTCCAGTAGTTCACAACCACATCCATTTGAGGGACGAGACAGGCAATCACAATCGAGCACTGCATGCTAGGATCAAACATCCACTTAGCATGTACCTCGAGACAGATGATGAATCAGATGATGAGCCGCAACTCCCCATTTGCGACGTCCTTGATATCATCGACGGTCTCTTTCCCTTGATAGGCTTCCATCAATATTCGGGCGCTTTACGCCACCAAGGCATTGCATATCTAGCCGCTGCAGTCAATTTTGACTGTGATTTTTACATCAGTGATATTGGAATGTCGAGGGGGGCTGCAACGCTGTTTTGCGAGCAGGTCAACAAAATGAAGATGAAGAATGATCGAGCTGTGGCAAGGCGGAAGGCAAAGGGTAAGAAACGTGCTCGTATTTCTCATGACGACCGAGGCGAAGAGGATCATTCCTCTTAAGAATTACCGATCTCGACTATACTTTGTAGCAACTGTTCGCCTTCCTACCTTACGAGTTTGTAGTAGACGGAACTCAGCCAATACTAGCCCTACTCAATAACAGTTTATTTCGCCAGTTTATTTTTTTGAGCGAGCAGGACAAAAAGTTGAGTTCAGCGGGTGCAGGGACCTGATTGGAAAAATTGGGGGTTTGCAAAAGAGAGATGAGGTCCCATGAAGCAAGCTCAAGTGCGAGCTTTTGTTGTCCGTCTTCGCTCCAGTAGTCACTCATACTCGATGCTGGTATACTTTTAGTCCTCGTCATTCAAGTTGTACTTCGGCTGCTCAGCATCACAGTCAGCCCACTCCAACAACTTTGCATAGGAGATAAACTGGCAAATAACTTGAAGCTGTCACTCAATAATGCTGTCAGTGTATTTCCCTTCGCTTATCGTTCGAGCAGCAAATAAACTGGTGAAATAAACTGTTATTAAGTACATACTATAGGGCTACGCGATCGAGACGAGTTTCTTTTTTTTGCCTCGAAGTTTTCTCTTTGGCGCTCTATGTATTATTACTTGTTTCTATCTTCTTGCGGCACTCTTAGGCTCTCAACGTTCTCGCATTTTCGGGCGTCTGATCAGGCTCACTACTGTGTATTACTAGTTGCAATGTTTATAGGGCTTCCTGTTGTCTGCAGGGAGCCGCTTTTACTCCGGTTAATCCCGCATTTTCTCTTGCCCTCCGCTCAGGCCAATTACTTTGATTACAAACGATGTCAATTAGCATAAGCCCCGCTGAGTCAACAGAAAGCTGGACGTAGTAGATTTATTATGTAATATAAGGGCGCAACTAACATGTACAAGCAATTACATCATATTGTCCATATTGCACAATGATGTGCGGGATTTGAAAGTTTGACTGTGGACCACAATCACAACCCGTCAAGTAGGTCTTGAAATTACAACTTGGCAATTCCATCCTCTCCCTCTTCCTACTCATTGATCTTGGAACGACGACGTTCCCGGATCGCTAGCTTCTATATCTGCGCAATAGCTGCAGCTATCTTTTGAAATATACCAATCTTCCAACGTTCTTGGACTCTCATCAGTGTTTGATTCAGTACTACTACCATCTATTGAATCTTGGAACGACAACGTTCCCGGACTCTCATCTTTTGGCTTCAGTACTATCGTTTGAATCTTGGAACGACGACGTTCCCAGACTCATAGCTCCCACACTGGTACATAGGCTGCAATAGTCTTCCTTAAAATACGAATCTTGGAACAACGACGTTCCCGGATTCTATTCTGACGACACGATGTATAAGACGCGCATTGTACAACTTTCCCCTGTCCAGGCATTCGTTAAACAAAATTCGGGGCAGTGGAAGGTAGTCAGTAGAACAGCGCCAGGACAGGACTACTGCTGGGTAGTAATTAATGGCAACGAGCCCAAGATAGGAGCGGCGCCTTCTGGGGTTATAAGCGACACTGAATGGCCTACAATGGCTGATCATTGGTCTAGTGACCGCCCGTACCGTGCTTATATTCCTGTGATCCCTAACAACAACAGCTTCCCCGCCCGTGGTTGGGTCTCGAACTGGGGCTTCAACAATCTTGCTAGTTGTCGTTTAACCCCGGATGCTGGCAAAGTGATTATTCGGGTCCGCGACAACGCCAGATCAATGATGCAAGCTGTCCTTTCCACTTATAAGCCCAAATACGCCATTCCCCCCAATCTCTCATTAGCTTGGTTAGACCGTCGCTTCCCTACAGAGGAGGCATTGGCCGCCAAAGTTGCAGAGGCCCAATGTCACGTGTTGCATCAGTATGGGTTCATAGCCTTCAACATCAAGAGAGATCCCACATGGAGAACGCGCGCGGCATTATCAACCTTAAAGGATATGATAATTAACACTGGTCTCGCAGAATGTGCCTACCGAGGATGCATAGTGGTTGTAAAGAAGATTGACTTGTCGGTCATGTTCATGCTCATTGAGGACAAAGTCCCGTTCCACTATCAGTGGTTTCCTGCAGATGTTGGCCCCTTTAACCCTCGAGAGCTCAAAGCAATCAACTACGACCTTCGTGAAAGTCGCCCTGAGGAAGCGCCCCAGGAGGAACATCACATTGTCGACTTGTCGAATACCCGAGGATGTTCTTTCTATCGAGTGAGTAGCGGTGGCGAAAGGGTCGCAATCACTAGGAAAGTATTCAAACGCTGGTCGTTTTGGTGCAGGACAAAGCATCGTAAATCGCCCTCAGGAGATGTGTATTTGCTCTTCCAGGATGCACCACATGCCGACGATAGTCTCACACCTATTGATATGGAGGACATACAAAGCTCCGATCATAATCCTGACGATTCAACAGTTCTTGGTATGGATTCGTTACCTGATTATTCCTCTGACGACGAAGGGGAATCAACGGAGCTTGAAGTCCAAGAGATGTTGCCGCTGGTAGTGACGCCAGGCGTTACTATCACGGCGCTCTCTCAGAGTGAGTTCGACGCTGCGGATGCCTTTCTGTCAGCTTTGAAAGGTATTGCTACCGTGACAATTCAACAGGAGCCTCAAGATCGAGCGCCACAACGTAAGTCTTCACAATGTGAGTTTTCGCGACCTGAGTCACTAATCCCTCTAGTAGAAGATACAATTATCACCTCCTGTTCTCCTGTGGCATCCCTGATGCAAGAAAACGCATCTGAACCTTACTTGCCCCTTCCAGCAGTGCCTTGTCCTACGCGGACACCCGATACAGGGATGGAATTCCCCCCCCAGGACGAATGAGGAATGGTCCAAGAGAGTGTTCCCTCGAAAAAGCGCGCCATATCCACTGTCAGTTCACCGTCGAAGACAAGGGAAAGCAAGAGGCACTGTGCAGGACTATCAAGCGAGTCATCGGCTTCTCCGGATGTTACACACAATGTTGTGATGGTTTCTCCCGCACCAGTGCCCCAAGTGTTGGTCCAACTGTGAGTTGTTATAATACCTTCGACAAAGAATTGACTAATTGACGAGGCTCATAGGGCAACGGATCTGAAATTCACCGGGCCATCAGTAATGTTGCCTGGCATCAATTTTCCCACCACTGCAACCCAGCGTACGGGAAAATTAGTCACGACCTTTAGAACAGCCGTGCGCATCGTGTACCTGATGTTCCTCAATCCCAATGCTTCCCCAGCGGACTTCATCCCGACCCTGCTCAGATCTGGAGCACCTTACCGTGTTCTCTCACCATTGGGAGACGCTACTCCCCACCCGCTAGTTGATCAACCTCCCTACCTAGCCACTCGTCATGAGTATACAGGATTAAATCTCAATGACCCTGGTTACTGGGAAAACTACAAAAGCAATGTCAAAGGACTGCTTGGCAGACCATACGCTCGTCGCTTTTTGTCGCTTGGAGGGATCTTGTGGTGTTTGGCTCTTCAGTTTGGTCCGGCTGACCTCATTGATCGTGCTCTTGCAGGACCCTCCTCGGATGTGACTGACTGGGCAAGCGGGGATATGTTGGACGGGTTTTGTGATGATATGGTAACACCTGCGGACAAAGGCATTCTTCTTGGCCGTAGTCTGCGAGGATCGGAAACATGCTGGCCCCCCTATGATCTTTGGGATGCATCTACTGAGTGGACAGGTCGCTGGACTGATGATAATGAGTCGTGGTTTCAATCACACCTCTCCAATCTTTCAGATGGTAGACTCAACGCTCCAAAAAGTCGCCAAGTCTGGAGAAAACTCTTCAAACCGGCTCCGGCAGTCATATCAGAAGAACTAGCCCATCGCGGGACTGACCCGCTCGCTCGTACTGTATTTGGTCAATTGGGTCACTCTGTAGATTGTGAACCTTCTTGGGACCTGGCACAATACGAGGCTAATACATAATTGTGTCGCGTTTATGTTCATGTTGATCTGTAATCATACATCGTTTATGTACTCTCAATGCGAATATTCATTTGGTAACTTATCATTCTACAGCAATTGTGTTAGTCAGTCGGGCCTTCAAATTTTCAAAGCTTCAAGCCTTCAGCACTCAGTCAGAACACCTGCTCATTGACATCATCGTTATATATATCTTATATGTATACTCATATTACATAAACAGATGCACAATGGGAACTCCGTCTTGTCTACGTGGGAGTGGAGCACTGCTTGAAACACTGTACAGCGCTTTGAACTGCCAGCTTATGTTGACATCTGAGTCTTGTCTCATGCAGGGAGGGCTACTTGTCGGTTCCAGGACACTTCCTTTTTGCAGCCATACTCGCTCGCAAAGCCCCGGGCTTCCACGGCAGTCACTCAATCCTCCTCCGCCACCCATCAAAAGGCACTCAGCACCTGCAAATGTCACAAGTCCAAGTGAGACTCAGTGGAACAACACTACTAGAGCTTCCTCGTCAGTGGAAGCACTTCAGACCGATTTCCAGACCCTGGAGTTTATCCCATCACCATCATCCCCTGGTCTTGCATCCGAGTCTGTCACTGCAGATACAGATGGTGAGCTTTTTGCCACCTAATCACAACTGTACCATGTCGCTCAAGTTTTGCAACAGATTTGCACGAGCGCATTATCACTGCCCTGACAGATGAATGCCAGGACAATTTAGATAGAGATATTGTAGGAATTAAATGATCAAACCTGTTATCTCTGATTCATTCAGCTTGTCCCACAGAGGTTCTCCAACGTTTCTGAGGGCGATTATGCTCGTGTAATGAATGCCATGGCATCAAAAGATAAGCTCATTCGGAGGTTGGCTAGACTTCATACAGTTAATCAATTTTGCACTGATCGTGAGATCATTTCCACAGACCAGCATATTTCCCAGAATTCAAAAGACTCATTGCCACCAAACTGCCACCACGCACTCACAGTAGCTTTCTATCATCGATACGAGCGTCTATCCGACACGCTATTGATTCACTGCCCATCGCGCATCGATGGGACCTTCATTTCCCCATACATACAACAACTTTCCTCGAGGGCTTAGGAATGCCCAGCTTGTTTCTCGAATTGCAAGGTCCCAAGGGCGATAGACCATTATATATCATAGACATCGTGTCCTCACAGGAGGAGGAGGAAATGGCGTCTACAGTACGACAAATGACGGAGTGTCAGGACGTCGTCCTAGTCAGTATCATTGATATCCGCGAGTCGACCCCTTACAAACTATCCGATGATTCATCTGATGCGGTGAAGGAGCGGCGAGATCTGCCGACGTTTCGCGAGTGGCGGAGTGGTTCAGATAATCTGGCCTCTGGGTCAACTGCCTCCTCTCATCCATCAGCGGTAGATTCTCTGACAATCACTATTCAAACATGGCTCCGTGACACACAGGGAAAGTTTTCTACTGACGTCAAACAAGGTCAATATTATGCTTGTACAGTATGTTGACTCTGATTTTTATCATTGGTTCTATTGGACTGATAATTGATGATACAGAAAATTGGTCTAAATACTACCACGAACACCGAACATCTCGACTCGCTCCTGGAGCAAGGTATGGGGGCGATCAGAAACAGCATTGTCGATCACGTTGCGCAGCACTGCCAACCCACAGATGACGACTTCAGGTATGGTCAACATTAGTTCTCATAGAAATCCTGACATGAATGTAACAGTGCTCTCTCCCAATGGTCGCCCCCGGCTTGCGTCTTCGATTGGAACCTAGCGATGAAGTACATTTGCAAGGCTGCACTTCGGGACGGGTACGATCGCTACTGTCAGTGGCATGACGCAATCAAACGCAGTGTTGATAAAATCACGGAGCCGGAAAACCAGGGCGAATCCAACAAGAGGCCCAAGAGAGCTTAACGTAACAAGATGCCTGGAACGAACGCAATTGTAAGATCTCGTCTGTCCATGATTCACGCTGTCCGGACTCGTTGAACCGTTGCATTTTTTATACTTATTATATGTCTACCCTTGTGATCGCCTCAAGTTGTTGTAAATCATGTAAAAAAGGATACCTGATTTTGTGTTGAGGATTCTACTGAGTATGAATATAATCATCGTTGCCGCAAGAGTTTTCGATGCCACCTTCCAAGGACGCCCGTCTTGCTGAATTGTTACACCATTTGATATCATTTGCAAAGCAGTACTCTATGTAAGTAAAATAGTACAATCTACTAATCTAAAGATAGCACAAGCCCCGCTGAGTGAACAGAAAGTGCAGTAAAGACCCATTGGCCTCGCTGAGTCAGCAGAAAGTGCAGTATGCAGAGATGACATAATCTCTTGACTGCACGCCAATCACTAGGATTACCTAAAGCAACAGGCTATTAATAATCCTGTTTTGGATGTCATCTCAGCTCTTGGATTGCACTCATTCATTTGTCTTTCATCCACGCCAAATCTTGGAACGACGACGTTCCCGGATTTTCTCTATCCACAGCTGAATCGTAGACTTTGGTCTTGTTTGCCAAAGTCCACATCTTATTGTCCTTAAACTCCGATTTCTCTTGTCACTTGTCTCTCATCTCTTCACTCTTACTACCATCATCGATCTATGGTAGACTATCATAGATTCTTGGAACGACGACGTTCCCGGAATTCTTGTAGTCTTTTCATCCAAGTCCTGAGCGAGTAGGTTCTTGGAACGACGACGTTCCCGGAAGTCTCTGACTCTCATCGACTCAGTTGGTCCCATTCAACACCCAAACCTTGGAACAACGACGTTCCCGGGTCTTGTAACCTACTCCTTCCCTCGAGCCTACTTGCCATGTCCAGCATGCGTTCAGCACAGCCTGGCCTACTCCAACGAATAGTGGACGAATTATCAGTATGGTGGAGGGTCCTCGCTAGGAAGACGGATGGGCAGGAGCACGTCTGGGTCGCTATTCATGATAGTGAACCGAAAGTAGGACCCGCTCCTCCACGGCCCGACGAAAGAATGGGCAAGATGCTTCCTGACGGAACCCTCGAGGGCCATGACTGGTCGATCTCCTCTGACTACTGGGACAGCTCCTGCCCATATCGAGTCTGCATCCCTGTCGACTTGGAGGAGCACGATAGGTTCCCGGAAGGTAAATGGGTGTCAGCTCCGTTCAACTTGGGCAGGGTTTGGGGCGTTTCAGATGCGTCGGGCTGGAAATTATCCCCCACTGTGCGTAGGTACATTTTTTCCACCAGAGAGCGCGTGCGTCCCATCGTCACCACGATAATGTCGATCTACTCTGCCAAGCTAGGGTACACCCTCCCCCCCTATCTGTCGTTAAACTGGTTGGACAACTCATTCCCGTCCGAGGAAGCCTTGGCCGCGCAAATCGCCGACGCGCGAAGGCACATATTGGATCAATACGGATTCATCGTCTTCAATTTGTTGCAGGACCCGGACTGGAGAATGTGCACTGCTCTGGCACCTCTTGTCGGTGAGATCACTGACATCGGTCTTGTTGGCCGTAGGCACCGAGGAGTCATCGTGGAATTCGACAAGATAGAACCGTCGCACTTGCGCACCCTCCTCAAGAAGTATGTTCCAATACACTATCAATGGTTCCCGACCAGTACTGGACCTTTCGACCCGAAAGTCCTTCAGGCTACGGACTACGCCTTCATGATGAGCATAAGGCATTCGACGACTCACGCCTTTGCCCCGAGGAATGGGAAAGAACGCGAAGCTTCTCCCAAGCGTCCGGCTGGCCCGGTGCAGAAGAAGCCCGCAAAGTACTACGCGGTGGAAAGCATAGGAGAAGAGGACAAGGGCCGTCGTATCTCGAAAAACGAGTACAAGAGGTTGACGGAATGGTGCCGCGGGGTGCACAAGTCGCTACCTGGAGGGGACATCTTCTACGCATACGAGAACGACGCAGAGGACGATGACGACGCAAAGCCCGCAGGACCAGTCGTGTCGGCGAAGTCCCTCGCCGCCTGGGAGGCTAAGATGGCAGCCCTACCGAGAGAGGAGCCGTTGACATCCACAGATAACGTGAATGTTCCAGCAGTAGCAATGCAAGGTGTTGCGACCGCTGAGTCTGAATCGGAGGCCTCCATGGCAGTAGTGACGCAAGGCGTTACGACCGCTGAGTCTGAGGCATCCCTGGTAGAAGTGACGCAAGGCGTTACGACCCAGGGGGCAGTCAACAAGGAGCCGGCGCAAGTCACAGTGACAGCGCCAATCGCCGAGGCCATCGAGGTTTCCGTTGCCCCAGTACCAGATAGTGGTACTGAACCTCATGAGGAAGGAGAAGCTCCCTTCATACCTGGCTCTCCCATTGCCCCTTGGATACCACAAGACTCTCACGTCTCGACAGCCCCTCCTTCACCTCGGGCCAATTCACATCCCTCATCTCCAACGGATGCAAGGGTGGTTCCCCCAGCGTCAATGGATGGATTTACGGTACGTTTCATCATTAAGCTTATTGTTGGGCTTTCACTCACCTCAATTTACAGCAAAAATCACCAAGGCTTTCTTCACCCCGGTCCATGACACGACCCTCATCTTCCTTTGTTTCGGGGGCGGTTCTCTCCGAGCCAGCGGGTGTATTGACGGTACATTTAACATTAGTTTTATTGTTGGCTTTCACTTACATCTATTAAAGCAGACACCGGCTGCAGTCGATGCGGGGAGGAGCCAGCAACAGGTCTATGACCGGCCGGGTCGTCCATTTAAAGGGGAGAGTCGCCGAGATGCTGGTTCATCTCAGCACTATGAGCGTAGGACGAGCCGCCCCTACCGGGAAGAGGGCTACCGCTCTCACGGTGACCGCACTCAGGCTCAGGCCCACTCGAGGTATAGACCCGCCTACGATGAAGGTTATTCTTCGCATGGACCCTCCTCCAATTGGCCTTCCTCGGCGCCCAGACGTCCTCCTTCCCCTCGTCGCGAGGAACGCTTGGCGTTCCCAAGCGATCGTTCTTACAGGAAGAGGAAGTTATCTTCCTCTCAACTTGAACTTCGAGGACGCACTGGAGAGAGTAAGAGGTTCTGCCCAGAAGACAGAGAAGCGCATCGACCAACGCTGAGTGATCGCATCGTGGACGACGTCAGGATGGGTCCGTCACCCTCGTCCTCGCGATCATTGATAGACAGGGTCCACACTGTCGCGAAGGTCCCGGATACAGAGCAGAAGCCGAAGACTAAACAGGTCCCGAACCCGCGTGCAGAGCAGGTTCCAACCCTCATGCTCAGGCCATCAATGTCCCAGGTGTTTTTGCAGCCCCAGGGACTCATGTCTGCAGCCGAAGGAATACGGCTCATAACGCACGCCTATCGCGCTAATGAGCTACGGATCAATGGTCCTCAGGTATTCATGCAGGGCGTCACCTTTCCCGCAGCGCCAACCCTTCACTCTGGATGTTTGATTACGATGTTCCGGTCTGCCATCCGCGTAGCGCACGACCTCTTGGCCAATCCAAACGCGTCTCCAGCGGACTCTATACCAGGTCTACTCAGATCCGGGGCACCATTCCGAGTCATTTCGTCGATTCAGTATACCGCACCAACGCAGCTCGAGGCTCGGCCATTGTATCTAGCAACCAAGCGCACTCACGTTGGTCTAGATCTGAGTGAGCCTGGGTACTGGAACACCTACCTAGCCACCGTCCAGCAGCTTCTCGATCGCCCGTTTGCACGCCGCTTCCTCACAGTTGGAGGGATCATATGGCGTATAGCCTTACAGTTCGGCCCAAAGACTCTCATCCAAGAAGCTCTCTCGGGGCCATCCTCAGATGTCACTCGCTGGAAAAGCGGTGAAACGCTAGACGACCTCTGGGACGATACTGTCACTCCTGCGGAACTGGAGATACTATTGGGCCAGGGTTTGGAAAACTCGGTGACATGTTGGCCTCCTCATGACATTTGGACCTCCTCCACCAGATGGTCAGGATTTTGGTCGGAAAAAGATGAAGCATGGTTCCAGTTGCAGCTAGCCAACTTGTCTTCAGGGAACACCGAAGCACCCAAAACCCGCAAGGATTGGAAACGATTCTATAAACCCATCTCAGACGACAAATCTGGCGACCCGTCGTTTCATGGCTCAGAGGCCTTCGCTCGTGATCTATTTCAGAAGTTGGGATACCGCGTTGACCGTGACCCTATCTGGGACCTGGACACTTGAAGGGGCGGAAGTTGGATGGATCATTCATCTGTGTCGGTCACTCGATTGGTATGTGGTTTTTCTCGATCTTTGGTCATACTCAATATACTAACAATGGCTCAAGTTTAGCTAAAGCACTGCAAATTTTGTCATACTTCATTTTCAAAATAATATCTGTCTTCGGTGTTTGTTGAAGAGCATGGATAGAGTAGAACTACTTGGTGTAGGCTAGTAGCACTCACATGAATGCTTGAACAATATATCTACTGCGCATGAATTCAGTGACTGAAGCTTCCCCTCAAGTTCCCTGTGTCTTCATAACAACACCAGCTCAGTCCCAACCTGACAAACGCTGAGCACTGAGTGTTGTGTCTTTTCTATTCTTGTTTCTCTACCGTGACGCTGCGTGGTACCTGAGGGCTACTTATGTAATTAGGCTTAGTCATCTTCATCATCAACCTCTTTCCTTTTTGGCTTCCTCTCCTCCCTCTCATCTTGATCTTTCTTTAATATTGTCCTTCAATCTTGCTCTACGGGATCTCGTGTAAAGCTCGGCTTTACTCGATTTGCTCGTATAACCAGATTTGAAGCCAACTCAGCCCCCGGATTCAGACCTCTTAAGAGAAGCCAGGCTTTTCGTATTAGGTCTCGCTGGCATTCAACCTAGCCTGATCGTCCTCGAGGACCCGTGTCAATCCTCCTTCGAGCTCTACGAGCATCTTCAACTCTTTCCAGAAGCCAGGGCTTTCATGCGAAGTTTCTTTGAGTTCCTCGGCGACCTGTTTGCGTCTTCGGGTCTTACTTTGAGAAGCCAGGCTTTTCGTGTTGGACCCGTGTCAATCCTCCTTCGAGCTCTTTAGATGGGACGGATGTATCGGTGGATAGCACCCGCCTTACTTGTGCGCAGATCTTTCATTGTGCCATGCGATGATTACCAGCTCTCTGCTACAGTCGGGCATCAGGCTGGCCCCTCGAGCCAGTTCAAGCCGGACTTTGCTCTACAAGCTTGTTCCATTTTCTCGTCCCAATCACGCGACAAGCTAGGCTTTTTGGTTGACTTTTTATTCAGCATCGGCACAGATGCCCTCGTTTCATCGCGTTATCCAGCGCTCGTTTTCTGATCTCAATGCCGTGCAGTGATCTATTCCGACAATTCTCTCGGAGTCTGCTGCTGCTTCTCGCGCAACACCAGAGACGTGCTTTCCTAATACTATGGACTGGAGTCGTAGCCATTTCACATTCGAGTTTCTCTCGGAGTCTGTTTTTGCTTCCTGCCCAACACCAGAGACGCGAGGCGTTTCTGGTGCTGCGAACCGGAGTCTTAGTCATCTCAAACAGCACATTCCAGTTTCTCTCCCGAAATCTGCTTCTCACTTCTAGCCCAACACCAGAGATGCCAGGCATTTCTTGTGCTTTTGGCGTGCTAGATGCCTCGGTGATTGAGGTGGGTTCTATGTTTCGAACATGCCAGTTAGCGCCAAGGTTCGGCCGAAGGACGAATCGTGCATGGACATCGAACAATGTTCTTGATCAATAACTTCATCGACCATCATACCTATCAATCTATCTGGTGAGATTTTACTATCATTCCATCATCGCGTCACAAGTGCCTGGTTAGCATCGAGTACGGTAAGTTTGTCGATTAAATACTCAAGTCGAGATCACGATCACTGAGGCTGATGAGTATTCAGATGTATGGAGCACGCACTGGCACTACACTTACTAGAGGCGTCTCTGGTGCTTTCCTGATACTATGGACTGGAGTCGTAGCCATTTCACATTCGAGTTTCTCTCGGAGTCTGCTTTTGCTTCCCGCCCAACACCAGAGACACGAGGCGTTTCTGGTGCCGCGAAGTGGAGTCTTAGTCATTTCGAAAAGTACATTCGAGTTTTTCCCGCAGTCTGCTTCTCGCTTCTCGCCCAACACCAGAGATGCTAGGCATTTCTGGTGCTTTCTATGGACTAGAGTCTTAGTTGAACTCTTTGATGAAGCCTACTTACATGAGGCGCTAGTATCATCATCTCCCTTGTGTGTCCTCCATGTTTGCTCAATGGCACCCTTGCGGTCCTGCTGCGTTCTGGCACTCAGAGCCTGAGTCATGAGTCCTCACGTGCTCCTAGTAATATTATGCACTCAGGCTGGAGTCATACTACGTCATTTCCACATTCGAGTTTCTCTCGGAGTCTGCTTTTGCTTCCTGCCCAACACCAGAGACGTGAGGTGTTTCTGGTGCTGCGAACTGGCGTCTTAGTCGTTCCGAAAATTTCATTCTGCGCTGACTCAGAAGAGCTTGAATGAGAGAGCAACTTACAGGAGAACAGATTATCTTTCCTGTTGGCACACCACCCCGTGAGCGAGTCCCAGGAGAATATTATTATATCTTTAAGGTTCTCAATTCTGTCGCACTCAGTAGCGCCAACCTATTCAATGACCTTCCGACCGTGTTCCCTCATTTTCAGTATCCCAATCCTTCAAGTTAACGACCGGCTGTATTATTGAACTATTTATCTCACTATCGCCTTGCCAGGTTCATGAAGAACTGCTAGGCAGTTCCGAGTGCCTACCAGTGTTCGGGGTCCCCAAAAAAAAACTCAGCTGGGAAAACTGCTGAAAACTGCCCACTGAATTAATTTCCGTTCGTTGTTTTGCACAGAACGGTGGTCCATACGAGACTCCTCTTGCACACATCTAGAAGGCACCTACGAGGTTGCACACGTAGTTTGGCCACGAGAGGTGATTCATCGTTGTCAAATTACGCGTGCACCTTGTCACTGGACACCTTGCAGGAGCAGCAGGACAACAACCGTGACTGGTACGGTATCTGGGTGCGGCCCATGGAGCTTGGCTCGTCTGGAATCTGGGCTATAAAATTGCAAAGTAAGTAGTAGCTCATTCGAATTAGCCCTATTCAATTCTTATCTCATTCTGCTATTCTACTAGTTACTTCAATCAAGTTCAATGCAAGTGACTGAGCTGAAACAAAAGTAGCACCAAATTTTATTTAACAGTGCAATGCTCAACGTTCGACTACACTAGACCCCCTCCTCTGACACTTTACGTGTACCACTGTTGCAGTCGGGAGCTTGTACAAAGTTACTATTAGGCTTACCACTAGCTCAGCGTACTTTTAGACCCTACTTGACAACTGTTACTGAGAACTGAGTTCTAGTCATTTCCTTACGTAAGGAATCTGTATACCTCAACTAGTACTTCGACGACAATCCCACATTCTCCGAGTCCCACAGAAAAGAATTCACTTCCAATCTATTCCCAAGTTCTCGACGATATTTATTCTATCATATCCGTTGATTATTTCGCTAGCAGGCTTTGGAACGACGACGTTCCCGAGTCCTCTTGCAAAAGTCTTTTCAAGTTCTTTCAAGGCTGTAACAGCTGGTAGTAACCGGAATTTAGTTGCACGACATGTACCAGCATCGCTCTTCAAACGATACTACCCTCCGGGGGCTAATCACAGAACAATCACCGTGGTGGAACGTTAGAAGCAGGACTAGGCCAGGTCAGGAGTATTGCTGGGTGGCTATCAATCACGATGAGCCGAGAGTGGGTGGAGCGCCTGTAAAGTCAAGTCAGCGGTCCCAGAAGGATGTCGATAGCAATATTCTCAGCGATGATGACTGGTCCCTAAACAGCGACTACTGGGACGCGAGTTGCCCTTATCGAGCCTACATCCCTTTATCTCCTGATAGCACCAGACTTTTACACTGGGTGACCGCATTGGAGGCCCAAGGACGAAACAGTGCCAACATCTTGTCGACATGGCATCTGGACCCTGATATGGCCGCCGAAATCGTTGCAACAACTGAAAATGCACACACGCTGATGCAAGCCGTGGCCTTCACTTACACGCCATCATACGCCATACCACCCAGCGTCTCCCTGTGGTGGATCGATGCTTCCTTCTCCACGGAGGTAGCGTTAACAGCTAAGATCGAGGGAGTCCATCGAGGCATTCTGGACCAGTACGGATTCGTCGTCTACAACCTTGTCAGAGACCCGGACTGGAAGACGCGCTCACTGCTAGCTCCCTTAGTGGGCAAGATCATTGACACAGGGCTCGTACGTTGTTCCTTCCGAGGCTGCATTGTGGATTTCAATAAGATCGCACACCATGATCTACTTAATCTTTTGAGGGATCAAGTGCCAGTCCATTATCAATGGTTCCCTACTGACATTGGGCCCTTGGACCCACGCACTCTCAAAGCTACAGATTACAATGACTTCAACCGGGAGACATATCACACACGAGAGATGAAAACAGACGAAAAACAACATGGAGAAATCAAGAAACCTGGCCAAGCAGCGAAAGTGGTAAAGGGAGAGGCCCTGTTCTATAAGATGAGCAAGAAGGGGAGGAACAAAACACTGATTTCTAGGGCAGAATACAATCACATTTCGCAGTCTTGTCATGTGGTGCCATTGAATTTCCTAACCGGGGAGGTGTGTACTGTTTTCGAAGACGAACAGACTCAGACTCGCCACGAGGAAACGCCCGCCGTTGCGGGCACGCCAGTAGTGACACTAGGTGTTACGAACGCTGTGCCCGTTGACTCGGAGGTGCAGGCTGAAACACCTCACAAGCGGACTCAGACTCAGACTTGTCGCGAGGAAACGCCCGCTGTTGCGGGCACGCCAGTAGTGACACTAGGTGTTACGAACGCTGTGCCCTCTGAAATACAGGCTGAAACACCTCACAAGCAGACGTGCATGGTTGCGGACACGCAAGCACTAGTGCTCCCAAACATCAAGAACACGAACGCACAAAATGGTCAACGAGCTGAGACTCTAGTTTCCTTGGGAGAAGATGACACTGGCCCCACTACTCTACGATTCCCATCAGCGCCAGGGTCGCCTCCAGTGCCCCCGATTGTTTCTCTACCTCGTCAATCTAGTCATTGCCAATTCTTACCCCATCCACCAATCCTCATTCCCAATGCGCTACCCTCTAACGAAGGCTTGCAGCTTATTCGCAGTGCCTACGGGGAAGACGCGTACCTAATCATTGGACCGCCTGTGTACCTCAGGCTCTCAGGGATCATATTCCCAGCTACCCCGGCCCCGCGGGTAGGTACCTTAGTTATGTCTTTTCAATCGGCCATTCGAGTCGCGCACGACATCTACGACCACCCTGCCGCTTCTCCAGCAGCCTCTGTACCAAACCTGCTCCGCCGCGGAGCATCATACCGCGTCTTCACACCTATTTCCCAGGTGACCCGAGTCCCTTCCTTAACTAGAGGTCATCCAAGTTACTTGGATAGTCGTAACACCTATCCAGAGTTGTTGAACTTCAAGGACCCGAATTACTGGAACACTTACCTAGCACGGGTACAGGCACTACTGAGGCGTCCTTACGCGCGACAGTTCTTAACCATGGGGGGAATTCTATGGCGTCTTGCGCTCCAATTCGGCCCACCTTCCCTTCTGAATGATGCTCTCGCAGGCCCCTCTTTGGATGTCACGACATGGGGAATAGGAGAAGTCAACGGTCAATCATGGGACGATTCTGTGACTGCGGCGGACATCACGATGTTGATTGGTGTTTCAGGAACTGGATCTTGTTGGCCGCCCCACGATGTCTGGAATTCGTCTTGCCGATGGAAAGGGTTTTGGTCAGACGCAGATGAGCAGTGGTTTCAATCGCACCTCGGGAACTTATCTTCCGGAAATACGGAAGCTGGCAAGACCCGCAAGGATTGGAAGCATTTTTTCAGGCCCATATCAGCAGCAAGGTCGTCAGACGCGTCCATCTATGGTTCGGAGGCATTTGCTCGTGAGTTGTTTGGACAGTTGGGCTTTCGCACAGATGTGATCCCTACTTGGGATTTGGTATCAGCGGACAGGTAAAGCAATTCATACTACTATATAGTGTTGGCTCTCAAATATGTGTATCACAGTGGCTAGTAGCAAGCATGGTATGACTCTGTATGAGACCTTCATAACTCTGATAGTACTTCTATAGTAGTAAGTGTAAGATGTCATAGCATTATGTAGCTGTGTAAGATGATAATGTAAGGAAACTATAGCTGATCGTCAAAGGGTACCTAGTGCATGCATAATGTCCAGTGAAATTTACAAATTACTATAATAGCAGTTACTATTGGATAAATGGGAACCTGATAGCATTCAATGATAGCATCATAATGCTTAGTTACAGACCCATTGAGAATTGTAGACATCGGAGATAACATTATATTGCTACAGTGCATCCTGACATGACAATGGCAGTTATGTAGGTGTGAGTTACATAGCGAAATGTAGCTACTAGTGGTAATATTATATTGCTATAATGAATCCTCATGTTACTATGGCAGCTATGTAAATACAAGGGATTGCTATACAGCGACAATAAAGGGGGGGGTTGTTATGAGGCTATGACAGCTATATATGATATAGATTGCACTATAGAAACCCTAATTTTTTCTGATGAGCCATTATCCCTCAGAAAGTCACGGATAACATTTAAATCGAGGTAATATTTGATGGTAACTGAGAACGACTAACAGCATCAACACTAGTGAGCTTTCATCCCTCGGTGGCCGCACCGGTGGTATGTCGCAACTCTGCCATGAACCACCAGGCCAAACTATATTTGCTGTCAAAGGTTAAAGCCATTGTCCTGTGGAAAGCCTTGGATAACATTAGAATCAAGGTAATATTTGGTGGGAACTGAGAACGACTAACAGCATCAACGCTAGTGAGCTTTCATCCCTCGGTGGCCGCACCAGTGGTATGTCGCAACTCTGCCATGAACCACCAGGCCAAACTATATTTGCTGTCAAAGGTTAAAGCCATTGTCCTGCGGAAAGCCTTGGATAACATTAGAATCAAGGTAACATTTGATAGGAACTGAGAATGATCAATGTCACCAACGCTAGTGAGCTTCCGTCCGTTGCTGGCTGCGAAGGTAGCTTGTTATGATTTTGTTAAGGTCTCATCTAGCGAGTCTATGTCGGTGACCATCCATGGCTAAGTATGATCAAGTCAAATTTCTCGTGGTATACATAGTCATATTGGGCTCAGGTATTTTGCCGCATCACTGCCGCAACTTGCCGCATCACTACCGCACCACGGTACCGAAACATACATTTAACGCTCATTTCCGACAACTACTCTCATCATACACAAGATAATTGACTAAGTAGTAATACTCGTCAAACTCATCGACTATGCGCCTCTCGGACATGACTTTGAGAGGCCGAATTTAGAGGACGTGTTGGGCGTGTTGCGGCACGGATGCGGTAGTGGGCGCGGCAGCAGTGAGTCCTAGTAATATTGTACGAGACAATGACATTCAGACTCCTTGGTATACTCTAACAGCGAACATTCGAACTCTCGTTGGCCGCAGGTGCTGCAGAGAATGAACAATGGGGAAAAGACACTGGCACACACCAAGACCAATGGAACCCATATGAGGGTCTCCCTGAGCACTGGAATCATGGTGACTGAGATCTGTATGCACCAGAATTTGAAGGAGAACTGGATGTGCGTAACTTTCATATTGACAGTGGAAGGCTGCATTAAAACAGCACCGACTGACAGTGTGAGCCGAACTTTAGTGAAGGAAGTGAGCGGCTGTGATCCTGAAGTCATTAAGAAAGAGAAACATACCAAAAAGCCTAAACCACGGCCACGGCCAAGGAAGGTACATGGAAGTACTTGACATGCGCGAGGATGAACATGTTGTTGTGTGGCCGTTCTTCAAGTTGGTACCCGTCTTTGAATTTCAGGCAGCTCGCGGTGTCGTGGTTGACTGGCGTGTAGTTGATTCCATCTGGCGGTGAAGACCAAGTGCCAGGCGAGACTGCAGGGGTGCATGAATTGCTGAGAACAATGCACACCATGGACAAAGCTGCAGGTATACTTGGTAAAAAGGATCATCGTGTTGGTGCGGTGCGGTAGTGCACAGCCACAAATCTCAGAATTGCCGCACCCCACAGCCACAAAATCTCAGAATTGCCGCGTCCCACAGCCACAAAATCTCAGAATTGCCGCACCCTGCCGCACCCTACCGCGTCACTACCGCACCCATAAAGTACTATATTCACTATGATACCACGATAATTCTTATACAAAAACATGTACTATGGTATTTCTTAATTATAAATCATATTTAAGACCTTTGTGGATGACATAGACATATTATATACGCATATAAGACACTTGTTGTGTAGGGTGCGGCACAGATGCGGTACGATGCGGCAAAATCCTAAGGCCCAGTCATATTCGGTAGGAGGCAGATGCAAGGAGATCCAATTGAGTGTGGCATTGTCAACTGCGTTCGATATTCGCCTTCTGGTGAACTTCTTGCCATCGCAACAGGCTCAGATATCCAAATTTATAATCCAGGCACAAGGGAACACGTCGCATCTTTGACAGGTCAGAACCTGTCACTTGCGTGGATGCCCAATGGCACACGCCTTCTTTCAGCAGGCGGTGATTACATATTTGAGTGGGACACATCAACCTGGCAGCAGGTTGGTCATCGCTGGAAAGGCCACACCGACACTATCAACGCCATTGCCATTCATCCAGCTGGCACACTCGTCGCTTCTGTGTCTGAAGACAAGCATGTCTGTCTCTGGCGGCTCTCAGATCAACGAACCATCGCCGTCTTCCAGCATTCATCTCCCATGACATGTGTCACGTTCTCTGTGGACGGCAAGTACATCCTCAGTGGAGGTCAAGACAGGCAGATTTCAGAATGGGCAATACCGAAGGACGTTCATTCAAAGGCGAGTTTCCATTTCTGACTCTCATTATGCAATTCGAGCATCCTTCGTGCAGATCCTTAGCATCACAATTGCAGCCCGCGATGCATGTCTAACTGGGGACTTGTCTATCGCTGAAGAGCTCCTCACGCAAGATGTCGACACCAACGTTGACGACTTTATTTTGTATGCCAATTGTTCATTCGTCGTGGCCCGGAAGCACGACTGGGACCATGCTCTAGATGATGCAATCCAAGTGAGATGGACTGGCCCATCATGACCCTTTATGAAAGGCTAACTTTCATCTGTAACATAGTCCATCAACATTCGGCCATCATTGGTAGGCTTCGTCTCTAAAGGCATCACCCTCTGCGGAAAAGGCCACGTCCGGGAAGCAAGGATAGCATTCGATGTCGCATCCATGTTTACCAATCAAAATTCAGAAACCAATCAATTTCTTCTCCTGATCAAGGTACATTTAATTCATCTCCCATGCTATCTGCTTTATCCGGTATTCCAGGCCATCGCACTCTTTAACGCAGATCAACACGACGAAGCAATGCTGCTCATCAAAGACCTGGCTGCCGCTTGTCCCAATGCCGATCCTCTCGCGCGTCGTGTCGTAGAAGTGAGTGTCATGTGTCCACACTCGATCATCAATACTGATCTTTTCAACTCGCACAATAGACATATCTACGTGTTCAGCTCGGAATCAAAGCTTTCGATGGCGCGCGTCACGACGAAGCCGCCGATCACTTCACCACCACTGTTGATTCAGGCGCATTCTCATCAAAATTCATGCCTCAAATCTACGAGGACTTGACTATGGTGTGTCAAGATGATGCACACATAATACTTTCCATAACCTAGTGCTTTGTCCAGCTCTTCGGCTGGGATCTCGAGTCCTTGTTGCTAACTACACACCAAAAACGGTGTCAGGCATTCCTTTCGGCCGGCAAACTCGACGAAGCTCTCGAAGCACAAAAATACATGATGGACACCATCGACGCCATCGCGAAGGCCAGCTGTCTCGATTGGTCCAACGGCAAGTCTTCCGTCGTGTCACCCACGACTATCATGCTCACCCGCATGTCACTCAGAGTTCAAGGAGAAATGCAGCACGCTCGCTGAGGACAACGACCGTATTCTTGGTGTATGTGCCTCTTTCCTTACCTCTTTCGATCCTGACTATTATGCAGGCAGAGATCCCCGGCCAAGAGCAAGATGGCTATGATGCAGATCCCAATTTCTTCTATGGAACGCGTCAAGTGCGTGCAAGAGCGTATCCTTCTGTTCTCTCGCTCATAATTCATTACAGCATTCTCAGATTTCCAGGCCAGGACTTCAACAACGGCCTGGGTGCCTCAAAAGATTTAGACTCGCTATGACGAGGAGGCCTCAGGAAGCCCCTGCACCTGCACCGCCCACCACCTCACCACCAGTCGCTGTCACCACCACCATCAAAACTCATTTACAACACCTATTCTCCCGGTCACCCCATCATGCAACGCTCCCCGTTGTTGATGTTCCATTCACAAAGGCTAAAGAGGTGGGTCAGGTCGATTCTTATCAGTGTATCCTGGTTTTCTGATGCGTAGATCTACAGCGTCATGTTGCTGCGGGTGCTCCTGGCCCAGACCCGGACATCGTACCTGATGAATATTTCGATACCACCGAACCGGACTCTGACACGCAACAGCAGCGACAGCAACAACAGCAACAACACCAGCAAGCAGTAGCAGTCCATATAGACCCTGGGGAACATGGAGGCGGAAAGTCCTGCGTCTGCTGCTAGCGGGCTTTTGAATGTATCTCGAACACTTCAGTCATATTGTCGAACTTATTATGATATCTTTACTGACTCGAAGCAATATCTCCATAATTTTTGCCATCTTCGGTTCATCGTTAAGTCGTACCTTGAAATCTACTCTGGGAAATTTCTTTCTTAATTCGCCTGCTATGTGACGAAAGTCAATGTAATTATTCTAGCGGAATTGGCGATGTGGCACTAGTGAAAGTACTGATAATCATAACTCGCAGCTAACTTAAACGTTAACAGGACTCCCATAATCACACTACGCTTGACATTCAAGCAGTCCCTGCAGCCAGGTACTCCCCACTCACATTATCCTTCATGTGCTCATCTCTAGTGTTGTTTCATCTTCCTTCTGCGTCACTCACCCTCTTAGCTCTGACTTTTCTCTCGCATTCGCAACAAGTGAAAATGCAGCAAGGCACAGTAGGCAAGGTTACTCATCCAAATGAACGTTTGGCACATTCAAACACTCGGAGTCCGTTGCGTCCATGTCCTCATTTTATCTGCACGTGAAATCAGGTGGTTATGCTAGCCACAGAGCGAAGATGATATTCCTTTATGCATCTGATCGAGATGAAAGCACAACTCACGCCCATTACTGGGCGCTGTAAACTGGTGCAAGACCATCAGTGAACCGGTGAACATATTGAAATACTATAGTTGACCTTATATAGTTAACAATTGCAACAATCTCCATAAATCTGGTGGGGGGGTTTACTTGACTTTGTGAGGGAAAGATGAGTTTTCAAGTCAACAAGCCAAGTCGCTCCGGCGTCAATTCACCACTTAATATCTAAACTAGTCTATGAACAAAAGATGCGACAAAAGCCCAATGGAATGGATTTCGGATCAGGAGTGTCAAGATAAAGCGCCCGCGATCACCACTCACATGGGTGTGATACCCTTGCGCAGTGGTAAAATTCTAACGCAGGCGGTGTATTTGGTGGGTGGAATAACTGTAATATCATTTGCATATCAAAATACTTCTCAACCATTAGGAGAGGTTACAGAAGCAAATGTCTGGTGTCAATGCACTGACGTCATTACTTGCTTTGGACAATAATGACAAGACTGTCCCGTTGTGAAGTTGCAGTAAATCTTGGTTGGTACCTCGAAACTCGCGACACCACAAGTTGTTGCTCAAACACGTAAACCATCAAAATATTTTGTCAACAATGCTATACCGGCTCCGCTTAGAACAGTGCACACAAATTACGATGTCAGAAGTTAGAGCTAACCTTGCTTGCGACGTCCGATCTTCACAGCCAGGCAATTAGGTGAAATTTTGTGAGTCGTCGGTTTAGATGTTGTAAGACTGCCGGATTGAACGAAATATTGTGATCCTGCTCAATTTTCTTGATGCCGGAAGTTACAGCTTAATCTTGTTTGCGACGTCCAATCCTCACAGTCAGGGGATCAGGTGAATATCGGTAAGCCGCAGGTCCAGACATTGTGTCATATTAAATGTTACAAGACTGCCAGATTCAACAAGATATTGTCATGCCGCTCGATTTTTTACTATATACTACAGAAGTTGAATCTCCTTCATAAAAAATCTAATCTGCAAACTCTAACAAAAGAGGTTCGTTTGGTGGGCGGAGGGACTGTGATTAGTGTTGGCATATTAAAATACATATCAGCGGACAGGACAACCACCGAAGAACATATCTGATATTAATATATATATTTCGTGTGCTCTGTTTGAGCAGCAACATAGCGGTTAAATGGAATGACAGATAGAGCAAACGCTAAAGCAAAACTACAAAAGTGGCAGGTTGGTGCCAGTTCTAAACGGGATGAGAAAATTTTTTTGACGGGAAGGCTGGCAGTGATCAACACGACAGCGCGTAGGTCTGGAATTGGTTTTGCAGAGCAAGACACCTTTTTCTAATCAACCTCGCGAAAGACAAAAAATAGCAACAAAAATTATTCTTACGTTCCACTTGCACGCTGGATACATCAAATTTCGCGCGAAAGGTTAATTTGCCGCTTGGAGAGGGAATGAGACGATGCTAGAGTTTTAGGTAGGTGACGAGCTATTTGTTTTGTTGCATTCCTGAATATAGTTGATTACATTGAGAGCGTTTCTATGATTTGGCTCGATTGTAAGGGGTATGAAGTTTAGCAGTGGATGGCACGCTGTACAGTATGCATCAGTACTACTATTATCAGCAAAAATCGACCATACATCAAATGACATTCAATCTTGATCACAAATGGCGAGTACCACACGATGATTGCATTAAACGTGAATGTTATAAAATGTATATACAATGACAGATAGTAAAACAATGATTAAGCTAGTCCGAATCGAAAGCAGCATCCTCTTGTGCCTTTCTCTGTTCTGCCAGCGCTGTAACGGACATCTGAGACACAACTTCAGGTGTGAGATCCTCGCGGTGATTTTTTTCCGAAAACCTTCCTGAATAGTTATGTTAGATATCTGACACGTACTATGCCACAATAGCCAATACCTTGTCCACCATTTGAGAAGTTTGCTCACCCTACGTTGTGCAACAGGGCCAGGGACTTCCTCAAAGAAGTCGACGATGTTATTCCAGAATCCTTCGTAGTCAAAGTCCCCATCGACGGTGCGCCAAGATGAGACGCTGGATAGCGCAAAACGAACCTGCCAGAAGCAGATGTTGAGTCAGACATGAATGGTGGGCAATCATATTTACTCACTTGACAAACAATATAAGCGATGGAACGAGGGGTAACTTTCTTCATGTTGATAATGGAGGCCACACACATTTTGACCTTAACTTGATTTAATGCCCGACGAGCGCGCCTGTTATTCTCGAGGATGTCGGCACCATCGCCATCGCCATCAGCTTCTCTTGCAGAAGATGGCGATGTAAATGTAGCTTTGAAAGCCTAGTATTTTGAGTAACGTCTACACACTATGATCCCATGTACTGACCTGAACGAGGATCTTCGACTTGAAGAGACCTTTCTCCAGGTCGCTATTGTCGAACAAGTAGTTTTCGTAAACGAACCGCGGCCAGGAGTTTTCCGATACAATGAAGTCCGATGTTCTATCGCGAATACCGGCCTTCACGCTGCTCAGGTTTCAACGACATGTAACATTTCTACGAAAGTAAGTGCTCACCGGTTATCATTCCAGTCCCACTCGGCAGGGCATAGCAAATCCCCACAAACGTCGTGTGTGAAGCCGCGCAGCTGCTTGTCGTTGGACCGGAGTAGAGGCGACGGGCGAAAATCCTGATTAACCCAGGTGGCGACGAGGTCCTTGAGAGTAGAAGTATCATCGCCACGGGCCACATCAGCTCCTCTTTTGATCTGTAGTATTATGAGCACGCAGTGCGAATTTATTGAAAAAATGTACCTTTTTCAACATATCTTCACAGTCATCAGCATCCAGGTCTGAAAGCTTAGAATGAAACCACGGCAGAGCTTGTGCGAGTGAGAGGTAGCCTCGCTGCAGGCGATTTTGTCTGAATAATGGAGTTAGATGTGTCACGGAAACATAAAAGACATACTCTAGGGTGCTGCCCTCCAAGTCGTCCAATATAGCTTCCTCGTACCTGCGATCGTTCTCGGCGATCAAGTCTTCTAGGTTAGTATAAAGGACGCTCATGCGACGAACCCCTCTGCCTTGAGCGACGTAGTAGGTGGTTTTTCTTTCATGATCAATGAGTTAGAAGTAGCGAGTAAGATTGTATGCGACAAACCTTTGCTTCGTTCCCCTTTCTTGCTTCATTGTTTGTAATTCTTCTTCCAACGCGGCGATGTGGCGCTTGGCCCTTGCTTCAGTGGAGGTGGGGACTGCCCCTGAGGAGTCTGGGAGTGCGAGAGCGTGTGCCCCATCACCAGGTTCTGACATGGACATGGTAGAAACAGATGAAGTGAAGAGTACTGTGGAGAAGATGAAGGTAAGGAAAAAACCTGCTAGACCATTTTATATACTACGCGAGCGCTAAAAAATTTAAGACATATAGGGCAATCCCAAATATGGATGAGAGGGTGCAGTTAAGTAAGTCGGCTCTTCAAAATATGGTGTCATGACGTACTATTAGCGTAAATGTTCAAATCATTGCTACTGTTTGCCATTGCGAAAGTTGGGATTGGCACGCCGACTCAGATATAGGCTGGCACAATGGCAGAGTAAGCCCAAATGATGGCCCGAACATGATTCATGCCCACCTTGAGTCGGGAGCACCGGTCTTCTATCAACCTGCGTCATGTGTTGAACAATTTGAATATCGTAACTGTGACCGAGACGAATGCTAAACGCCTAACCTCAAGACAAATTTCCCCCATTCAGCACCACCGAATTATCGCCAAATGCAGCACCCAAAGCACCAAAGAAGCTTCGAGACCATCAAACATCGTATCTAGAACGGCAAGAAGTCCTGTTATGCCGAGGAGGACCGGGCGGGAGGGCCACATAGATACTGCCGACAATGTCTGTAATAGCCTTGTTGATACGATGTCCAAAAGTGCTTTTCTCAAACGTACCTTCGCAGCAAGGATGCAGGCTTTCAGTGTGCTAACCCACGCGATTTTCGGTGATCGCCAGCATAAGAAAGTAAGATTCTCTACGATCAAGTTCGCAACGTCAGCCTGACGATCGGGACGTGGAGAAGGAAGACGGAGCATGGGACTTTTCCTATCCAATGCTTGGGCAACTTCTTCCTCCTTGTGTTCTGTAGGCGTCAGGGAAGCATCATGGGGTGTTTGTTCATTCTGAACGGTCCCAGATTCGTCAGGTTTTCGTCGCAGTGGGATGAGAGACTTGTTGGAAGGAGGGATGAATGGCGCTACAGGATCAAACTGAAACATGGACTATTAACAAAATGATCAAGTGCGAGAGGTTGTTCGGCTTACTCGTCCTTCTCGGATAGCGCTCACTATGCACTCGCATGAGGGTCTCAAAGAGGGGTTGATACTCAAGAGGCCTTCGAGCAATATCAGGAACAGACACGGGAGACGGCGGGACTCGAAAGATGTTGCAAGTGCAGACGTTGATCGGAATCTGAGAGCTGGTCTATAACTAGATCACAAGCGGTTCAGAGTCAACCGCATCTGGGGCCCTCCTGGGCCGTTTAGGCCACACGCAATAGTAACGGCAGTGAGCTTCTTGATGGTGCGAGGGATGTTGAACCTCGCAGTTGTACCGGCATCCTTGATGACTTGTCACTGGGTGTCCGAGTCATTAAAATATTGCAAAGCGTGTTGGTTCACGTACAGAGACAGTAGTACTGCATAACCTTCTGGGCGAGATAAGTCTTATGGGTCTCCTTCATCTTAATAAGACTCTGAAGTCAGAAGGATTTAGTCGTACGTGGTTCACAAGATGAGTATCACACTGAGCAAAGAAAATAATGGACATACCATGGTAGTTAGCAATGGGCGCCTCTCCAATGCAGGGAGGAGCTTTTTTCGTCACAGATGACGATTTAGGCTCGTCTTCAGCTGGCTGGAAAATGATGCTCGCGACGCTTTAACGCTCAAGACGTAGTCTGCGTTATGTAAGCAGGATACCAAGGTTTTGAGGCATGCTAGATTCATTTGGAAAGTCCTAGAGTTTGGACATGTGCCCGGTTATCTAAAAAGAGTGTCGATACTTGAGGTGTCGCTCGTCAAAGTTTGTCAAGATGATGAAAGAGTGGACTACGAGAAGCACAGGTTAGCCGTTGCCGTGAATGCACGATGATACGGTACCAAGTTACAGAATCATCCCGCGGGTGTGAGGAGAGCTCGTGAGCAGCAGGAAGTGATAGGAATGTACAATGGGCAGTGAGCGACGCGAAGGCTTCGCTTAAAGAAACAACACAGCGAGAGGGTCAACATGTGCTCCAGGGATTGGTGGTGAGTACACTTTGTCTGATTGATTGATGCTGGTGACACTGGGGGCAGGAACCAATTTGCCCAGGGGTCAAATGTTGAACCTAGCGTGATCTCAGACAGATTCAGGTCACCTTTGGTTTTGGCAGATAATGTTAACAAAAATTAAATTTTTTTCTTACTTTATCTCAATTTGAGTCATCCTGTCATATATACATTATAATCATCTTGTCTACACATTTTTATCAGACATAACAATTATCCTGGCATATGTTTTTGTTGTCATTTTGGCATAGGATCACATAATGATCACATTTTCAACAAGTCTCAAACTTATGTTTTGAGTAAATTTTGACTGAGGTTAATTCTTTTTTATTCTTTTTTCATTGGAATCAAGCTAGGAAATTTTTGTCTATGAATGCAAGCAATATATTACTTTGATTCTGATCACATTTTGGAGTTTTTTTAATTTATAACACCCTATGTTCTACTTATTTCTACACTTTTGTTCCTCTGATATATAATAGAAAATACAAAGTCAATTGATAGAAAAAAGTTTGACCAAATGTTAAGATAATATATCCTTTGCTCTGTAAACAAAATCAATAACAAAATAAAATCTGACTTTTTTTTGTTAACAAATCAAATTTTGACCAAAGTCGACATCAACAGTCAGTAGTCAACAGTTCACAGGTTGATCAATTATCATATGTTTACCTGTTAACTGTCGACTGCTGACTAGTAATATTGACTTTGGTCAAAAGTTGATTTGCAAACAAAAAAAAATCAGATTTTATTTTGTTGCCAATTTTGTTTACAGAGCAAAGGATATATTATTTTAACATCTGATCAAACTTTTGCGCATCAATCAACTTTGTTTTCTACATACTGAACCCACTATGCCCTAACTAAAATCTCACTGACTTTGGTAGTCTCATACTCAACCTGTACCCATACCCATGACCCACAGATCAGCGATGACATTTGCTAGCAAGGCTCTAGACTCACTCTCTATTTAAGGATGCACAATTTCAATGGTGCTTGGCAAATGATGATCGACATGCTCACTCTCTCCAAACAGTGGGCAATGTCTTGGATCAGCATGGCTCTTGCTCAAACAAGGATCAAGACACTCACTTGCTGTGAACGGTGAGCAATGACTTGGATCAGCATGGCTCGAGCTCAAAGGAGGACCGATACACTCACAAACTGGGATGACAAGGTGCTTTGTCTGTGGGACTTGAAGGCAGGTGTTGTGTTGAAGAAGATGGAGGAGCATAGCAGGCAGGTGTAAGTATTAGTAATAGGCAGTTGGGGAGTAACTAAGTTATGCGTTTCTGTGAAGTGCGGAAATATAAGCCATAGGGCAGTGAAAAGAGGAAAAGGAGAGGGCACATGGTTTCAGTATAACAACTCATGAATTGAGATGCCGTGAGATGTGAGACTGTGCAAGTAATAAGGATCAGTGAAGAAACATGAGAGGAAAACTTACTAAGGAGGATGGAGCTTGCAAGCAGTAATATTGCAGTCAGAGGGACACCAGCATGCTGGGGTAAAGAAACATTATTTGTTGAAATCAACCGTGGGAGCCCTGTGATTAGTAATTAAATCATCGGTGGTTTGATTTTCAATTTCTCGTAAGCACCTACTTAATGTTGTTGCTGAGTGGCTGAGGCTGAGTTGAGCACTAAGGCCCTCTGGCCTACAGCAGACATGTCCAAATTCTCCCTCGGACTCCTACCTGTTTAAACATGCCAGCCCCCATCAATATCCCAATTCTTGCCTGCTAGCTTTGAATTTCAAGTCCTTGCCTTTGTCCATGTTCTCACCAGTATCTGCTCTGTAGTACCTGTCAGGTCCTGCCTGCACCCTTGGGAAATGCAAGCATATGTATGTGTTCTCTGTGGTTCTGGATTGCGTGAACTCTACATTTTTGATACACTATAAACTGGCTACATATCTCATGGCAGGTTCAACTAGAAGAGAGCCCTGTAGATACATATATTTTTTGGCACATCTACTGGCTGTTATGCATCCATATGTGACTATTTACTAGCTTGTAGACAACTTCACAAATTTTTTGAAAATTTGACAAAAGCTTGCCGCAATTCCCGGAAATATTGTCACATTCTCAAAATTCCTGTGGGAGGTTTTTCCTGATGCAAGTGAGGAAACACAATATTCACACAATCCTGCTCTTCTTTCATCTCTGCAAACACACAGCATAGGGTATGGGTACAGGTTGAGTATGAGACTATCAGAGTCAGTGGGTTTTTAGTTAGGGCATAGTGGGTTCAGTATGTAGAAAACAAAGTTGATTGATGCGCAAAAGTTTGATCAGATGTTAAAATAATATATCCTTTGCTCTGTAAACAAAATTGGCAACAAAATAAAATCTGATTTTTTTTTGTTTGCAAATCAACTTTTGACCAAAGTCAATATTACTAGTCAGCAGTCGACAGTTAACAGGTAAACATATGATAATTGATCAACCTGTGAACTGTTGACTACTGACTGTTGATGTCGACTTTGGTCAAAATTTGATTTGTTAACAAAAAAAAGTCAGATTTTATTTTGTTATTGATTTTGTTTACAGAGCAAAGGATATATTATCTTAACATTTGGTCAAACTTTTTTCTATCAATTGACTTTGTATTTTCTATTATATATCAGAGGAACAAAAGTGTAGAAATAAGTAGAACATAGGGTGTTATAAATTAAAAAAACTCCAAAATGTGATCAGAATCAAAGTAATATATTGCTTGCATTCATAGACAAAAATTTCCTAGCTTGATTCCAATGAAAAAAGAATAAAAAAGAATTAACCTCAGTCAAAATTTACTCAAAACATAAGTTTGAGACTTGTTGAAAATGTGATCATTATGTGATCCTATGCCAAAATGACAACAAAAACATATGCCAGGATAATTGTTATGTCTGATAAAAATGTGTAGACAAGATGATTATAATGTATATATGACAGGATGACTCAAATTGAGATAAAGTAAGAAAAAAATTTAATTTTTGTTAACATTATCTGCCAAAACCAAAGGTGACCTGAATCTGTCTGAGATCACGCTAGGTTCAACATTTGACCCCTGGGCAAATTGGTTCCTGCCCCCAGTGTGAGGAAAGAGAGCTCAGGATAATCCGCAAGAATATGGAGTGGCAACCGTACCATTGGATCTTTGTAGCCGAGTTCCGCTCGAATCAATGCCAGACCCAGATATCCCAATCCAGCAACTCTGCCGACATCCAGACGCCTAGGAAGTTTAGAGTACTTAGAGTGGTTGAAAATGAAAACAGCTCCGTCTCGAACGTCAGAAAATCCGGCGCGTCAAAGCACAACTTGTTACGGCGCTCCAGACAGCCACGGATTTGAGGAGAGATACTACACGGAAGTCTGGGGATCTTGCAGCAGCGAGCTAGCGGAGAATGTCTTTTCGATGTTGCAGCTCCGACAGTTGTTGAATAATGAGGTGTCGAGGGCTGCTACAACTGCAGAGCAGTGGCAAGCACAACAGATCCTTGTTAGGGAACAGTTGCAAACGAGCCGTCAGAAGGTTGGGTCTACACGTCGGAAGCACGAGGCCTAGTGCGTTTTTTAGTACATGCCGGGTGCTCACAAGAATCTATTGGGAGAGTTGTCAGTAGAATTGCAAAGCTTGCAGGAATATCAACAAACCATGCCATGAGCTGTTGTTCTGTGGCTAGGGCACTGATCGAGGGGGGAGTTGTGAGTCGTGTCCGACTTGGTTTTGAAATTAAAAATGCGGAGGGTGAGCTAGTAACCTTTGCAGTTCCAAAGGCCGACTATTAACTGTTAGTACTAGGCCTCACAATTAGTAATGGTGGGACAACTCACAAGAATGTGAATTACGAATCACGATTTGTCGAGTTGAAAGCCTCCTCTTATGCAAAGGGTGAGACCTGCAGTGATGCGCCAAAGAAGCAGGCTCGCCTTATCTCTGTTGGTATCAGCCATCATGCATCAGCCACACCAGTGAATGTCAAGTTGACGGATGCGGCGAAATGAAATCACGAACCTTGCAGACACATTCTCCCACAGTCCATTGGCAAAACGCTTCGAAATGTCACTCGATTACTCATATCATGATGTTTGTTTGGATCTAAAGTTACCAATCTAAATTACCAAACAGCTATCATCACGTGAGTAGTTCAGATGGCTATTCATTCATCCTCCGAGTCTAGGCTGCTACTGAGTGGTGATTCGGGAATACGTTTATCAGAGGTACTTCGTAACAAACTGTAGTGTAAAATGCTCTGCAGGTGTACGAGGTAGTAGTGCTAGGAAAAATGGCAGGATTATACTATCTGTGGTGTAGTTCACACAATGTGCTGGGAATTGGTAAGTGAAACACGTGAATCGAAAGACGATACATGAAAAATGACAAGCAAAAAACAACAAACAACAAGCAACAAGCGAAAACAAAAACAAAAACAAAAACAAAAACAAAAACAAAAACAAAAACAAAAAGTGAAAAGCTAAAACAAAAAGCGGAATCAACATGATGAACGTCCTTTGAATGTTTCGCTTACATGTAACCCCCGAGGTGTGCTAAGTTCTCGCACGCTTGTTGGGACCCTTGGTGCGACGAGCCTTGGACTTGGACTTGACCTTCGAGGATTCAGGCAGGGTCGCTGCCGTGGGAGCCGTCGAGCTGCTGGCCACGAGTGTAGAGTCGGCGTCACTACGACCAAACATGAAGGTTCTGAACGTAAGATGGGGGGGGGACTTTGGGGATTGCACTAGGCTTCGATGTGTGAGCTTCCCCGGACTCGGAGCTACTGTCATCGTGCTCCGATTCCGAAGGCTCGTAAGATGAATCACGTGTGCGCTTGGCGCCTCTGAAACACACGTCATGCCAGTCGACATAGCGTGTGTATGCTGTGAGGTCCACCGCAGTCAGGACTCCCAGCGAGCCAAGGTCCCAGTCAATGGGGAATGGCGGGATGATGAAATTCTCCAGAGCGGAATGATCGACGACAGATTTGGAGTCGAGGTCTTTCTGGAACGAGAGGAAGAGGTCTCTCATCTGCGACATTCCTCAGTCGAATATCTTTGTGACATCGTCCATGTGCAGCTCAGGCAGTAAGACCTGTAAGAACTTGGTTATATCGACGAGTGTACCCACAATAGAACTCATGCCATATGCTCTGTCCTCTGGCTTGCTGTTATGCATGTCAATCACCTTATCCTTATCTCCCTTAATCCAGACAAAATACTCTACAGACTCGATGTGACACCACGTATGATCAGCGACTTGCAAGGGTTCCTTGAAGTCCTGTGGTGTTGAACATTGATTGATGAAGTCTTCGAGAGAAATGGGGTCGGGCTTCTCTTCGCTATCACAGCGGTTGTGTAACGTCTGCATCGCGATAGAATCTTGGTGAGGGGAGGTGTAGCATTTGGCTTCGCGTACTAATACGATCGAAGCTAAGACGATCTCTGGACGTGCGACAATCATAGATTCCATCTTCTTAAACACATGATCCCATTGCTCTGTCAATGCCGTTTCTCCTACGTAGGGAATGAGCAGTTTTTGCGTGGGCCCCTGCATGGCAGTTAGTGAGATGACCATATCTGGTGTGACCGATTTGCTCTTGAGCCGGAGTTTGTTGTTCATGTGAACTTGAGGGCGAATGATTCTGCGATTGTAAGGGAGATCCTTGATAGCTGATGTGAACAAATCCTTCAGATCATCGTGAAAAGCTTCATGCAGGACTGTAGGCATATTGATGGTAAGAAGTTGTTCGTTATAGTCATAAGCGAGCCTTGGAGCGCTCAGTTTAGCATTACCAAAACAGAAATAGTTTGATCAACTCGACCTGGGCTTTATTGATATGCGGCCCGTTTCTTCCACCTCATGTTCTATTATTTCGAATTCTCGCGGTTTCACACCGTGGAATTCCTGTGATATTTGGTAAGCATATCAACTGTTGACTCGCTGATAAAGAACATACCATGTAGGTACTTACCGGAGCCAGTCCAGTTAAATACTTCAAAACATTTTGTACATCTTCAACCAAATCAGAATACAATAAAACATCGACTCCCCATTGCACATACTTGGAGTGAAGTGTTCAGAGTGGTAGGACTTTTGGATATCATGATCACACAACGAATCTGCTACGATAGTAGCAACATCGTTTGTACCCTCTTCACAATCAACTGATTCGTTATCTTGTGTCTCCTGCTCCATAGGTAGGCGTGTTTTGATGGATTGGGGTTCTGTAGTTCTGTTTCCCAGCAGCGATCCTGGGGACATTGGCCCAGACTTCAGGAGCTTTTGCTTGTATTGATTTCCACTGGGGGTTCTCAGGCTGCTGGCAGCATTGCCGGTACTGCGTGTCGCCTGTGCATGAGTGGAACTTCTGGTTTCATAGCGCTTGTAATGGTTAGGGAAATTTGGATTGAAAGAACAATCATGCTTAGGATCAGGGCGAGCTACTATGGTGGCAGGCATGAGTGTTGGATGCTGAGTGCGGTTGTCTTCGTCACAGGTGGCGCTGTGAATGAAGAAGCCCCGCGAATAGATAATTACAAATGATCGTAATCATAGCGGCCCTCGGGACGCTGCCGGTATCGGCAAGTGCCGACTTTCAGTTGGCGCAGGAATCTCAACTCAAACCGGTCGCGATGGGCCAGCAGTTGTTCAAGTCATACCATCATCCATGGTTTCAAGTCACTAACGGTAGAATATCAGAAACTGAAGGGTTTTATGTGGACTTACATATTGACTCTTGTTCATTCTCGTGCTTTCCGAGTTGTTAGCATTCTGGTGCTGCATGGAGTCGACTCTCAGACCTGTCCCTTCCGGGCCCGAGTATCTGATATCATCTCGGCAACAAGACCACAAAGGTGAGTCAGTATAATTGTTATTTGACTATTGTTATTTAACTTTATTTTCAACACAATTTTACTAGAACTTTTTATCCGAAGAAACACGCACTACACCATACACCGTGACATCCTAGCCTGAGTGCATGTCTGGATATTATAGGAAATTGACAGCCAGGTGAGTATATTGCGGCCATGAGGGATCTATCCTGATATATGAATACTGTGAGTAATGTCTTCACAGGATGAGCTTCGCTACTACGCCCAACGCCAGATGCTCTTCCCATGGAACCAATGTAGATCCAGATTTTTCCTCTTTTGCACTCTGCAAGATCGATTAAATATTGAATAATAATGATTTTTCCCATGTGCAAACGTTCAAGGATTCGGCAGGAGTTTCACTTGGAAAAGCAACTTCAAGTTGGCTGCCGCACCCTCATGCCCACAATTTGGTGAACATGAGTTCATTCAAATTGAATAACGAACCCTAGGGTATTCCTGAGGTCTGTTAGTCCTATACGGTCCTATTCCATCATCATCGTGAAGGATCTAAGAAGCGAACGATTGGAGATCCGGGGTCTCGCAACCTTGAACTATCCGATTATCATTATCAGGGACTTACATTTCCGCTGTTCGAGGCTTGAGCCGAGGGTCTATTCGGTAGGCGACAATAATCTTTCGATTCAGTGACCTACTCGGACATCATATCAGAGAGCGCTGGGAAGCTCCGGACGCTCATTAAAATCGAATTGGCACTGTGACATAACATAGGACCTCGAGGTGCGGGCACGCATTATAATATGTAATCCTGCCAGTGATGCTACCGCCACCATGAAGGTGAGTTTTAAATAGTCCTCGCGACGTTAAAATAATAGCTGCACTCGGACTGCCTTCCAGTGCTGCTGTTTTCGTTTGTGCTGAGTACATCGTCGGAATGGTGTGGCACTTAGACATGCCTCCGATACGTAGTACATTTTCTTCTCTATATCCAACTCGAAATCATTGATGATCACAACTTGTGTAACTAGAAAGCACCAGCAGCAGCAACAGTCTCGAAATCAAGATGTATAAGCCCGGGAGTAGAACTAGAGCGCAACGTACTGCAAGGCAGAGTTTCACAATGGCTGCTCGAGCTGAAGCAAATATTGCAACATTCTACTATTACCAGCCCCCACTGGATGTTCTCCAGCAGCCAGCCATCCATTCTCTGTCAAACTTAGCACTTCCAACAATGGGTTCTCTGTCCATGTTGCTGCTACCACTGCCCCCTCCTCCTTCTTGTCCTTCTTGTTCTTCTTGTACTAATTGTCATTGTCCTCCTCCTCAGTCTCCTCCTCTAGTACCCACGCCATCACTATCTCCTGCATCCGCTGCAGTAGCTGCGGCAGTGTTGCCAGATGTCACGGTCATGGTGTCAAAGAAACCTGATTCAAAGGAGGTTTTTGATGCCATATGGCAATATTATATAGATTTTGATGATGAGTAGTAGTACAACTATACCATCAGTATCGTACTAGTGACTCGGGTTGCATTACGGTGATGTGGAGAGTTCAGTGATTGGTAGAGAATTCAGTGATGTTTCAGTCCATCGCGTGAATATCAGTTGAACTATTCTCGGAGCTTTAAAAACCCTTATTTGGTATTCCCAATTGCGTCTGGATCTCCTATTCCCTATACTCTGCTGCAGCTCATGACTGGGAGATCAATAGTTTTGATGCAAAATGATCCTTCTTCCCAACAATCTCATCTCCTCCTACTACCTACCACCTAGTACATCTCTCAATGCTTGGCAGTCGGTCTTGATTTCCTGGAGTGATCATCCGAACTTGAATTCCAAACACTGAATACTCCGATTGAAAGCTTCCCCTAAAAGCCAAGCGGATGGCTGAGTCATGATTCGAATCTTTGCAACATGTTCTCAGCTCCAGTTTCAACGCTATCCTCGACTGTCTGTAACTTTGAGCGTTCTCTTCACGAAGGCAGCCCACACGTTATACCTCTAAAGCATGAGCATATTTCGAATATAATATCTACTGGTCACGACCTCGAGAGACAAATATATATCGTACGAGATTTTCTTATTTTGCTATACGGCGCGAACACTGAGTTTTTGTGTAAGTTATCTCTCGACGGAATAGACATGAACAATGACGAGCAAGACGAACTGTTCACCATGTGCAGCATTGACACGGTGCATACTAGCTACCTGGCTGCACAGAGCCGAGTTCGACAGTACACTCAATTCGTGGCGCTCTTGCAGCGCGCTGAAGATGCATGGGCACAGAAGATTCAGGAGATAGGTTGTGTGATCACGGAAGAGAAGCTGGGACGTGTGTCGCTGGATGAAATTCAGGGGCAAGTCGATGAGCAAGATGTGCTGCTGGCGAACACCATTCACATGGTGTTTGCAAACTACGCTGCAGCGCAATGTCGAGTCCGCCAATACACCCACTTTCTGATGATCTTAAGGCGCGAGGAAGACACATGGCTTCAAAGATTTCAGAAGGCATGTTCTGTGATGCCGGGTTATGAGCCTGTGAGGCATGACCAACCTATGAAGGGTGATCTAATGAAATCGTTGCGAGTCTGAAGTCCCCATTTCCAATTGTACTTCATCTCATCACTTCGTCGTACTTATCCGAATATCTTCCATCCCATAGTCATAAATTACTGCGTACGGGTTCGAATCAGTATATCGGGGAAATGCACTACATTAACAGGTCTTTCGAATTGCATATTTGACAGTGATGTCTAATTAAATGAGGTTGCCACTTTAAAGCTCACACGCTCACGGCCCACGGGTGACTGAATGGCAGATGAGTCACGGCCTCAGTCACGTTCACGGTGAACACTTACTTGATCATATTCTCTCCGCCATGGTGGTATCACAGAACGATATATGTTAATACGCTACAAGTCAAAGTTTCATCCTCTGCCAGTAAATTGCTCAGTAATTATTCAGGGTGCGTCTTCAATATGTCATAACCTTAACATAGACTTGGATGATCATGATAAGTTAACTGGCAGCAGGCCCGTATTCTAGCTACGCACTGGTTGGAGTGATACCAAGGCCCAGGATTGTCTAGATGAAAAAGTCAGTGACGCTCACGGCCCTTCTGAGTCCACGGAGATCGTTCTCTGTTTTGCGATCGTAAGCTCTTTCCTTGAAGTTGGCTCGCCGCCTTAAATCATCGAATATCTTCCCAGACGATGTTTTTTCATCAAAGGTATCACACTCCTTCATTTCTACACATGAAGAATATTAGAGAAGAAGCTTACTAGCTCGGCTTCAAATGGGGCGGTCACAAATGGTGAGTTTCCCGCGGGTGTTCTTTTCTTCTTCCTCGCAGACTTCATTCTTCCTCGTCCAGGCGTATATTGCTTCCCTTCAGAGCCTCAGGCTCGATCATGCTGATGCGAAGAAACTCTCAGAGGGGACGGCATATGCTTGAGTCACGTTCGTAATTTACAATTCCCACAACCCCACCATCTTTACCGACCATCGCTCTATCGGTGAGCAATGTGCCTGCGGTTGTTTGATGATTTCAAGAGTCCGAGTCTAACCGTGTGCTCCCAGACAAACCTTTGGAGATCAAGATGGAGGTGTGTGAATTCAGAGTGCACGTTCTGCAGTGTCTCGTCCTTTCTAGGACCAACTTGAACGTCCAAGGTGCAATCCACAAGCCCTTCATTGAAAAGATTCAAGAATGTCGCCAATTTTGAATTGCGCGACCGTTGCATCTTGATCGTCCGTATATGAGGACTTCGATAGTAATCCAGATTTTGTCATATCTCAGGCTAGTATCATCTAACTTACTTAATCCAGATATCTTTCAACGTCATTGGGATGAAAACCCTGTACGAGTCATCTCGCCGCGAGCCTCCAGGCTGTTAACAGTTTTTTTGGTATTTTGCCCACATCAAACAGTGCACGTGACCGTAACTTCGCCTTCAGTCAACTCTACTCACGCCAAAGGATTCTCGCTCATTTAGTTAATGCATGTCAAGCACTCGGCAACGCTGTCCATACTGTCGAAGAACTTTATCGGGATTCAAGAGGACCAGACTGCCACACCTCTCAGTCACTGTGCTTACGGTTTAATCAGTTTGTGCCAAGACACGACTTCTTCGTGACCGTGTTTCGGAGGTTTTCCAGGGAAGCCAGTACACACGATACCTTTGGTGTTGCTTGGTTGTGAGCATTTTCCTTGCATGCTCAGACATAGTTTCAAGCTGATTGTTTTTCCAACAGTTGAACACACAAATGTTTAAGAAGCTGATGAATGTTGGAGCCGCAGAATTAGTATTGGGTGCAATTGTATCATCGAATTACTTGTAATTACAGCATGTACAGTCCCTCCTGATACGATATATGGATTGGAAATCGAGAGATATGATAAGAACTGAATCATAAAATGATCATAAAGTTTATGGGACGGGCAGAGTCGGGGACTGGCCGGTCACCGCCGCTATGATCCTGCCGCATCCTTAGGGCTCTTTGACGGTCTCTATCATCACGACAGCTGTGGTGGAATGCATCTATCTCGGTCGCCTTGGGTTCTTTTATTCATCTTCATCCTTTCTATGGTCACGGTGTCCTGCGGGGCCTTGCGTTGCTCTTGGGAGAAGGACACCGATTTTCGCGGACTTAGTAGACATCGTTCTGCATGCAAGTATTACCAGAGGGCAAGTGTATTAGCCTCGCAGAAAAGGAGGCACCGGGCAAATGAATTGAATAAAACATTCCGAAGAAAGTTGACACTACGGCTTAACGCAACCAAGGCTCAGGCTAACGCTGATGCTCCCGTACTAGTACGTCCGAGTCATCGATTCACCGTGACTGAGTCCAAGTCTAGATTCAACTCTCACTTCGGACTTAGTTCTCTTAAGTTGACTTACTATAATTCACAGCCGCGACCGATGCTATTTACCAATCATTCGAAATCTGCAGCCAGTTGCGAACCTAGTGTGGCTGAGTCCAGTAGCAACTCAAAGGTTAGTCACAATGCCGCTCGTGCTACTACTACAGCAGTGTCTCAACCTCTGCATTTCAGGAATTGGACGTTGTAGATGTCGCAATGTCAATGGAGGATTATGATACCGCCGTGAATGAACATGACCTACTAGGTGCACATCTTCCATAAAATCTTGTATCTGCGGCATACTAATGGTAACCTCACCCATCGCTCATTAGCGGACACAGATCAACGTCCTTCGCGAAGCACGTCCAGGCCCCTCCCAAGAAGGTTTGCCGATATTCTACCTGCCGATGAAGACATCAATCCCTCAGATTCCGCTGGGGATGACCCATCTCATGCGACCGAAACTCACAATCGACCGCAGCACAGAATCCAAAGAGTCTTATTGACTCTGCGTGATTCTCTCCAAACAGTATTTAACGCCATTGGACTTTGCCGACAATATCCTAGGCGCCCCTCGTTCGAGCCCGATAAATACATCTCATCTACCCAGCTAGCCAATTCCTGTCCAATGACCACCTACGTGGATGCGGATGGGTCTGATTTGGTCTCTGGACCGCCTTTTCCCTTCCCCAATATGACCGTCTACCGTCTGATGACATGGATGAACTCCGGTAGTCATCAGAAATCGGAGGCTGAAATGACGCGTCTTGTTAAAGACGTCATTCTGGCGAAGGACTTCGATTCAAGGGACTTGGATGAATTTTTGGTAAGGAGGAGTCTGCGCGCATTGGACGATAACGGTGGAAAGGGGCCTGTAACCTTCCCGGACGACTGGTTGGCAACAGATATCACCCTTGATATCCCTTCCAAGTCAAAAGACGACCGGGGCAGATCACTTAACATTTCGGCATTTCATTACCGGCCACTCTTATCGGTGATTCGTTCCGCATTCGCCGACCTTCAGGCCAGCGCATTCCATCTTTCACCCTTCAAGCGTCTATGGAAGGATCCGCTGGACAGCCATCAAGAACACGTGTTCGACGAGTTGTACACCTCTGACTCCTGGTTAGAAGCCCAGGATGGTCTGCATAGACAGCCAAGAGAGCCTGGTTGCTCACTCGAACGTGTCATCGCTGGACTAATGTTTTTTTCCAATGCAACTCATCTGGCCACCTTCGGAACGGCCAAGGCTTGGCCCTTGTATTTATACTTTGGAAATTTAACGAAGTATGCCCGATCAGCACCCAAATCTGGCGCATGCCACCTTGTTGGATTTTTACCTTCTGTAGGTCATCTCCCTCCTGCGCCATGTCTCTCTCACAATAAATTTCCAGCTTCCGGATAATGTAAAGGACGTCTTCAGTAGCTTACCGCAGATATCGAAAAGCGGCATGGCAGCTCTCCATGTGCATTGTCAGCGAGATTTGTTTCATGCATGTTGGAAGCATTTATTGGATGCGGAATTCCTTCACGCATACTGTCACGGAATCGTCCTTCGGTGTCCAGATGGAATACTCAGAAGGGTTTTTCTGCGAATCTTCACTTACTCGGCCGATTATCCAGAAAAGTGCACGTCTTGTTTTATTTTCGTTCATGTACTCATCATCGCCTTAGGGTTTTGATAGCAACAATCAAAGATATGGGCTCTTGCCCGTGTCCGCGCTGTCTCATGCTGAAAGCCTCCTTTGACGGTCTTGGCTTGTTTAAAGACATGCGAAATTGTGTCGCTACCCTTAGGACTTACTGTCTGGAGAAGATAATCAAGGCCCACGGATTTATCTACTACTCGGGAAATACTGTGAATGGCTCTAAGGTGCAGGCGATTATTGGAGAAGGTTCATGGGTGCCGACTGTGGTAAGTACCTTAGAAATTATTATCCTTATGATTGGTACTTAATTGTAAACTAGAACACTTTTGTAGAAAGGCTTGGACCCCTTGGGTTCGACGCTTTTCACATACTTGTAGTTGATTTTATGCATGAATGTGAGCTAGGTACATGGAAGGCGCTGTTTACGCACCTCATCCGTCTACTTTACGCGCTTCCCGGAGGTGACAAGTTGGTTGCAAGTCTTGACTATAGGTTCGTCGCATACAACTTTCATTACTGATTGAGGGTGATTGTGTTAAACATAGATATCGCCACGTCCCATCATATGGCAATGGGATCATTCGGAAGTTTTCGAATAATACGTCCGAAATGAAACGGCTTGCAGCGCGAGACTTCGAGGACATTCTGCAGGTACGTCTTTCTGGCTCATTTGATGATGGGCGTTGGTGACATTCATCAGTGTGTGATACCGGTCTTCGAGGGGCTTTTCCCAGCAGATCATGATGCTATTGTGCAGTCACTCCTATACAGGTTTGCCCAATGGCACGCTCTTGCCAAACTACGAATGCATTCCAACACTACCCTATCACTGCTAGATGAGACATTCAAAAAGTTGTCCTATCATTTGCGTAAGTTTCGCGACTTCACATGTGCCACTTTCTCTACTGTGGAATTACCGAAAGAAAGGGCTGCTCGAGAACGCAAGGCCGCACGTGAACGCTCACGTTTCGACAACGCGGATGCTGGGAGTTGTGGCAGAAAGGTGAAGAAGTTTAATTTGAACACTTATAAATTTCATGCCATGGGGGATTATCTACGGTCAATCCGGCTCTTTGGAA